AAATTTTATATCACTGTCTTCGATAAAGTTTTGTCTATCCATTTATGGTGTTTTTTTTTATTTTGGGGGTATTTTTAAATTTATTTACTTCAAAAATTACCATATTTTCTATGTAAATTATGCTTATTTTTATGTTTTATTTTTAATTTTTTTTTTTAGTTTTTTAGTTTTATTTTTAATCAGTTTCCATATAAATATAAATAGTTTTCACCATTGAAATAGGTTTCTTGAGCAGCAAATCATCATATTAGAGTGATTTCTGAAGGATCATGTGACACTGAAGAGTAATGATGCTAAAAATTCATCTTTCATCACAGGAATAAATTACATTTTAAAATATATTACGATAGAATCTGTTCTTAAAAATGTATAATATATTACAGTGACTGTACCTTTTTACTGTATTTTTGATCAAATAGAGAAAATATACGTTCAAAAACATATTCCAAACTTTTACTGTATGTCACGTTTACCCTTTTTTTTTGACCTTGCTATGTTTAATCAAAATGTCATAACTTGATCTTCTGTTGAAAACGTCAGATTTCTACAATCATTTAAACCCGTCCACGAATCTTCAAATCTAAATGAATAGATTTTCTGTAGTTACGTCACAATGCAAAAGATGTACATCTGTTGTTGCATATTCCACATAAGAAGGAAAATCATGCAGGTTTGGAATGACATGAGGGTGCAAACTCATTTTCTGGTGGCCTGTCCCTTTAAAAGCCATACACAGTGGGAATGAGTGTGGTGGGTGCAGGTCTGATGTTTGTGGCCCTCTCCATCCAGTGTGTTTGGAGGTGCACTGCAGTAACGTTGATGTCAGGGAGAGCAGGGATCTGCTCCTGAATTATCACCCTGCCGCTCGGTCTGCGCTCAAGAGCTCGACCACAAGCGGAGGAGGAGAACGACAGGAGAGCAGAGCAAAGCAATATGAAGCAGAGTAATGCAGGCTTCAGCTCTCAATGCCACTATCCAGACCACAGTCTCGTGCGCTGCTCCATATATCTTCATATGGTAATGGATAGAGTATAAAATTAGATGCAATTCGATTTTGCTTCAACTTTATTGATCTAAGTGCACCACCATAGAGTCAATTACTTTCTTTATCATGCCACTCCTTGCGCTGCTGAAATCAGATTTCCTTTTTAACTTTCTGTTTGAGGCAAAGCAGCTCAATATATGGCTACAAAACTGCAAATAGTCCATATAGAAATAGAAAAGGGCTGTCAAATGATTAATCGCGATTAATCACATCCAAAATAAAAGTTTGTGTTTACATAATATATGTGGGTGCATTGTGTATAATTATTTTGTATATATATAAATACACACACATGCTTGTATATTTAAGAAAAAAATTATTATTATATTTATAATATTATTATAAATAATATATTATTTATATGTAAAATATTTATATTTATATATAATATAAATTATATACAAATCTATATATGGTATATACAATATTTCTTAAATATGTACAAGCATGTGTGTGTTTATATATATATAAAATAATTATACACAGTGCACCCACATATATTATGTAAACACAAACTTTTATTTTGGATGCGATTAATCGCGATTGCCAATTAAAATGTGCTGTTTAGAACCAGAACAAAAAAACAGTGTCAAAACTTTTATCCAGAACTGACTGTCATCTGTAATGCCGATGAAAAAATGATCTAATGAGTGAGCAACTGTATGAATCAGTTTTTCATCTCTATTTTTCAGCTTTATTTTAAAACTGCATACAAACAAGAGACAAAAGCAATAACACATACAGTAGTATACATATTTTGTTCATTAAAGCTCAATAAATAATATTTTGAAATATTAAAATTTAAAAAAAAAAAAATTATAAAATATTTCAATATATTTATATCTGAGGGCAAAGCAGATTTTTTTCGGCTGCCATGATCTCACAAACATTAATATGAAAAAAACATGCAGGTTTTTTTTTTTTTCTTTAATGAATAGAAAGTTCAAAAGAACAGCATTTGCAACACTGTAGAAGTTTTTACTGTAATTTTAGGTCATTTAATGCATTATTGCTGAATAGAGACTTTTAATTGGACTGTTCATCCAAAAGTATGAATTGACTTTTCTTTAATGTGGAACAGACAGAGTTTACACAGAAAAGCTGCTCTCTTCAATGCAATGAAACGAGAATTAAAGAAAAGAATCTGAAAAGTTGTGCACAATATTCACAGTATAACTTTGTGTGACAATAAGGCAGAAATGATCCTCTGCATATCTTCACTTCACTTTTTATTATATGGCAAAAAAGAGAAGTCTATTGCTAAACTTCATTTGTGTTCCAAAGAAAGTTTCGAAAGCTGAATAATTGACGACTGAATCTCTTTATAGCATAATCCTTTATATTACATTCACACACACACACACCCACACACACCGCAGAGGGCAAAATGATTGCCTTGAGCATATCGTTAAAATCAAATTTTAAATTAAATTTAAATAGCTTTTTTTTCTAATGCAGTATTCTTGCATATCATTAATATTAAGTATGCTAGATCGCTTCATCAAAGTTTCAATTAACACGTAGTAGAATCCATTAACAACTAGTTTAAATGATGCGGTGTGCATCCTAACCCTATATTAATTTACATGCTAAATTCTAAAATCATCATCAATGTCTCAGGTAAACGGCACATGTGCCACTGCCGGAGATGATGTCAGGTGTGTCAGACTGGCGCAGACAGGCATGTAGAGGACTGATTGAAACAGCACAAGGTTGGCATGAGAGACAGACGCTCACCTGCACCAGATGCCTATCATTCTGAGACCGTCATCCTGGTTTTTCAGGGGCCGACTGACGGACAGAGGGGCTCTTGGGAAATGTGACCGTAGATTCTGATCGGACCAAGTTGTTCTCTTTAACACCCACTGACTGAGACTCTCAGATAAAGGTCAACATCAAGGGTAATGCCAATCTGACACTCTTAAAGGTATATTCACCCAAAAATTAAAATTCTGTTATTAATTGACCCTTCGCTAAGCCCCGCCCTCCCTAGTTACTGTTGCTACGCCTGTCAAGCTTTCGAGGCTGGCCCATCTATTATAGTGTGGATGCACCCGGTGTCAGACATTTCAATGAGATAATTAGTAATTTTCGGCGAACAAGGGAAATATCTGAGAGAGCAAGACAAAAGGGACTACAGTATGCATTCGAGGGATATATTCACGACATTATATGCAACCGATTAAAAAATAATTTCCTCAAAGTTGAAGTTAAAGCCTAACGTTATATGAAAGGGTATGTGAAAATAATCTTATATATTTTATATAATTATAAATCAAACAGCTTATCAATAAATCTTGTGGAATAACACTAATACCAGGAGAGCCGCGATCGGATTGGGTTAAGTTACTTAGTAAGGGATAACGTTAGGACGTCGATTAACAAAATGCTGAAATATATTTTAAAGTAGCCTATGTCAGAGGCTTGTCTTGTCTCTTTAATCTTATTTTACATTATCATTATTGTTTTGTTGGGTTCTTTTACAAATAAAGACTGATGCTTTGAGCGTTCACTGAGCTACTTTATTAACAGGCTGCAACAACAACATTGCGTCGCGCACTTCTTCTATATCCGCTCAAGACGCACTCCCCTCATACATGCCCCTGTTGCCCTCTTGTGGTAACATGTAATATAGATTACACCACAATTATGACCAAAGAACCGTCAATATTTCCAAGCAATAGGTGTTTTTGTTAAGCATGTCGACATTTACCAGTACTTGTGAATGGGTCTCGCACATAGACGCTAAATCACGCCAATCATTTCTCCCCTTGGCTTTTAGATTTTCTGGAAGGAAAACAATTCCTCTCCCCCCGTCCAAACTTTTAGTATACCGGTATCAGATTTGCACAATCCATACGCACAATGCTTCAGCATGTTTCCCTCGTTCGAAAGCTTGGCAGACCTCCCGCGCATAGTTACGGTTGCTAAGACATGATTGGCCAGTGGCGGTTTTCGGGCGTGTCAATTATAGACGTCGTTCCAAACCCGTAAGACTTTCGCTCATCTTCAGAACACAAATGAAGATCTTTTTGATGAAATCTGAGAGCTTTCTGTCCCTCCATTGGCATCTTCACAACGACCGCTTTGACGCTTCAAAAAGATCATAAAGAGATTGTAATGAGCTCAATGTTAAAATTGACTGCAGTTCTCCTTTAATACAATCTGTCAAATGGCACTTTTGGCGCAATTTTTTCACCTCTAAAGGTCACTGCAGTAACTCATAGTAGAATAATAAATGGACAATATACATATTACAATATATGAGGTATTCAAAATAGTAAACCAGAGGCGATCATGGGGAAGAAAAGCAGTCAGCAGTTGATACATAATCAAAATGGCTCACATCCTGATAACAAATGAGTCACTGACAAAAAAAGCAAGGTGAAGGGAATATCATATCCACATCACAAGCTCCATTTCACCCTGACGATCGTATATAACCATGCACTCGTCCAGGTGTTTACATTGGAAATATCTTTTTATGAATACACCGCCTGGAGCCGCAGACCTGGATTTCTCTGCTGCGATAGATTCAGATGGCAGTACCGAGGCTGTTTTTAGGTGAGGGCCACAGAGATTTGTATGCAGAGCGAGATGACGTGTAACTCATCACGATCCGCCAGAGGGTCTGCTCTCGAACCGTCATGCCCATCTAACATTTTTAAAGGGAACTTGGGCCGCTGCCCTCTCATATTTCCAAACTAACGAGTCGTCTCCGCTCTCACTGATGCTCTTTGCCTTTGAGACAGACATGCTCTTTGGAAGAGGCCGCTTAGAAGTGTTCAGAGTACATTAGTGTCCGTTCCTTTGACACACACCATCCTGCCACTCAAACATTACATCAGACTGGCCTTATAAAATAGAGACACTTGGGGATCACTTATCGAGAGGGTTTTTTTGTGTGCACCGAAGCTAAACGCTATTTCTGACTCTGTTCTCTTCTGTTTGGCAGGCCCGTCCAAGTGTCAGCATGAGGTGAGAGGTGCCGGACACGGCTCTAAGAGACTTCACTCGACTGGGAGAGCGTGGCGCATTAAAAATACAGGCCCCGCATGAGCTGTCGGGTCTCAGCTAGTGCTATAAATCAATTCCCAAGCACTCTGATTTCTTCATCAAGACATTTCTACTCGGGTACAAACGGAATGGGTTTCTTGAGCGCTTGCTGACCAGAAGCCGCACTCCAGAGGATACTATTTTTGTAGACGTCTGAAGTCTCTGAAAACACACCAGGAGACAAAAACGATATATATATAGGTGCATAGCTGATAAAGACTTTCAACCCTCCTGTCAATGCTTTTCACTTCCTTCAAAGCTGTTGGCACTTCAGAGAATATTCCTATCAGCTTTGGTCTGTCTAATTCACAGCTATTTTTATTCCACTACATATTTAGATAAAAGTTTCCCATTACAGAATTCTGTTCAAAACATTTCGGTCCCCTCGTCTGAATGGGTGAGAGAACCAGAAGGGAGGTTCACGCTTAAAATCCTCACAATTTCACAACCCGTCTACAGTCGGTTGCTAATCACGGTGCTCCATCATCAGAAATGACTTCCATCTTTTTTTCATGCAAAATGAAGCACATTAGCATATTTATGGGCTGAGATATAACCAATCGTGTACAATGAGCTACATGGATCTTGCATTCAGGCATCAAGCGAAGAAACAAACATCATCTGACATGTGAAGAAAATGTAATATTCAAGAGCTCTGTGCACTTAAACACATGCACTAAAATAAGTGCTCTCGGAGGAGATGGAGGAGCACATGAGTTAATTTTCCAGCTAAGGTTTATGCTTGTATCTGTGAGACATCAACCGAAAAGTCTTCAGTTTAAACTGCTGTGTTGCTGCTTTTACATAAATGACACATTCTTAAGAATACAAGTGTTGGCCGGATCAGCCCGAAAGCATCAGTTGATGTCAAATCCATATCTCTCAAAATGGAGAATTTGGATGACCTAGAACATCCATTATTGGGCGACAGCCCCAAAAACTCAAGTGGTGGTGGACTGTTCAAAGGCATATTGATGAGGAACGAGGAGGACAACAGACTGCCCCCTCTGGACTGGAGGAATTATTGCAGTTCTGCAGATATTCAACAGCATCAGCTACTGGATCCGTGTTCGTTGCCTTGCACTCTTGAGACTCTTTATCCTCCTACTACTATATGGGCCGCCGCTGACTCCCTGGGCATCCACAGTAAGGAGTATCTGGAAACCACCTTTGTGGACATTGGTCCTGGTTCACCATTGGAAAGGAAGTTGCTTGCCGAGACAAGAGATGTTCATAGTGTGTCCTACAGCATAGATGATGGGGACGACCTTTTGCCAGACTTTGAGGTGAGGCTTCTACCTCCAGAATACAATACATGGTGTTTCTTTAATAATCGTTAACCTAAAAATTGTAATTTTGTCATTAATTACTCACCGTCATGTCTTTCCAAACCCGTACACAATGAAATCTGAGAGCTTTCTGTCCGTTCATTGACAGCTACGCAACTACCACTTTGACGCTTCAAAAAGTTCACAAAGAGATGGTAAAACTAATCTAAATGAATTGAGTGGTTTATTCCACAGTTTCTGAAGAGACTCATTTTAGGCGGTGAACAGATTGAAAAGTAGTGCTGTCAAACGATTAAAATATTTAATCGCGATTAATCGCATTAATGTCATAGTTAACTCGCGATAAATCGCATATTTTTATCTATTTTAAATGTCTCTTGATTTCTTTTTCTCACATAATTTTTTCTCAAAAGTGGATCGGCTTGCTTTTCCATTCAGAATCTTATTGGCATCCATTTTGGCGTCTTGCGCTCGTCATCCACTCACATAACGTAACGTTAATCAACTATTTGGCCGGCTCGCCATCCCAAACGAGCGTGTGCGGCGTGCCTGTTGTTTTGTTTTCGGTCTAGCTAGATCCACTTGCGCTTTGGTCGACGAAGTTGCAAAAAAGTTGGCGTCCTGTTGCAAAAGCATATGAAAAAACACTACAAGGTTTGCTTGGACAAAAAAAGACTGTTAATCGCGCAATAATATTTTTTTTTTTAACTGTTAAAATGGGTTTGCGTTAACACCATTAATAACACGTTTAACTGACAGCCCTAATAAAAAGTCATCAACTCACACATCGGTTGTGGTAAAAACATGACGAGGACCAATGACGTTCATTCTCGTGTTACGCAGCACGTTTGAGCTGAAAGAAAGCTCTCAGATTTAATGCAAAAGATCTTCATTTGTGTTCAGAAGATGAACGGGTCTTACGGGTTTGGAACAACATAAGGGTGAGAAATTAATGAAACAATAAAAATTTTCAGGTGAACTATCCTTTTAACTACAGAAAGTGCATCAAAGTCTTTTTAGGCAAGTCATGTCACTCGGCCGCCATCTTGGCAACGCCTCCGGGCAGCTATTTCGGACTTAATAAGACCAGGCTCCTATCTAAGTGAATGGGCAGAGTGTCAGAACTGCACTTTAACTGGTCACCAGGAACTAAAAACTGCATGTATAGAAACAGCAGTAAATTATGATAAAAATCGCTGAAAAAGTTTGATGACTTTGCCCCAAAATAAGGTTTAAAATTCCCTTTTCCCCACAGGTTATATGTTTACAACAGTTCTCGTCATCAAATGTGCGCATGCGTTGTTGGAACCAAACGATAGGCTTAAATGTTTCCTGTTAAAAGCAGACGATTGGCTTTCCAGCGGGAGGGGTGGGGCATGTGCATAACAACCGCCATCTTTGGTGTTATGGGTTTTCCCTATATAGTTGTATTAAGGATTTAGGAAGTGGCATGTCTCTATATAAATAGTCTCTGAGTGCACTTATAATGAATGTTTAAAATGTTTATCACATTTTTTAAATGGAATAATTCATTATTTTTATAATGCAGAATCCCAGTTTAAGATTGAAAGAATGAGATCATGATAAACAAATACATAAAAGGCATTTGAAAAGTATAGCAAAAATAAATGAAGGCAATGTAAAAACCTGTGACAAAAAGTTCCCATATATGGCCTAGAGTAGACTAATGTTCAAAAGTCAGATTTTTTCTTGAATAACACTTAGCAAGGATGCATTAAATTGATCAACAGTGACAGTAAAGACTTCTACAACAAGTAGAATTTCCAAAAATGCTGTTTATTCATCAAATAATCCTGAAAATAAAAGCAAAAAGTGTTCGATTACATATTTCTGAAGGATCGTGTGATGAAAATTTAGCTCTGCCACCATCTCAAGATATATTAAAAGAAATGTTCCTTTAAATTTGAATAATATTTGGACCCGTTTTTTCCCTCTCAATTTGGTGTGCGAAGGCTGGTGGTTTGGTTTTCCATTTTGGCTCATTTCTTCCTTGCTGTTGTATTTGGACTCTGAAGAGAAGAGTGAACAGAGTTCACGAGTTCATGCCAAGTCACTCTCTGTTTACTGGATTCGCAGTTGTTCATTCACAGTCCAAATCCTCATATCTTCCTGCATTTGAAAAATAGAAGATCACCTAGCCGTTAAGCCGTGCATTTCCTCTAATGCTCTGGATATTGCAGCACAAATGTGGAATTCAAATGCTGTACAGTCAGTGATAGGTGAATGAGCTTTTAAATTGAAAAATCAAATGGCATGAATAGCAGTGGGGGATGTGAAGCGCGGACACTGGCCTTCAAACCCAGCATGATTATCGAAAGCTCTGTGTCCACTGGCGTGTGAATAATAATGCCACTATGCTGATGAGCTCCATGCCAACTTCTATTTCATACACCAGCAAACCAGATCTAGGTGGGAAAATCAAAGCTTCAGATTACAGATTCAGCTTAACCGCTAATAATTTTGATCGATGGCTTAAAAAAAATGGTGACGGCCAAGAACACGTCAAGTATCAGACCATTTATGTCTGTCAAAAACACAACATGCAGCTCAAACACTTAGCATTCTGCGTCAGCACAGACGCATTCCTCTGGAAAGCGGCTTGTCACATAGCACAAACACTCAGTCCCTTTAAAAGAGCACTTGAGGTTCTCTCTGTCAGCACTGATTACACATGCTGTCATGCCATCCAGGCTTTTCATCAGGAGGTCAAGTGTAAAACTGATGCCATTAAAATATTTAAAAACCTGTTCTGAGCAGAGGCAGTGCTAACAAAGAGCAGAAACCACTGTGACTGTATGCGCTTCATGAGGATCTGCTCTACTATGACACAGCATTAATAAAATATTACTCTATTTAAATACCAGAAGGCGCTTAAACGTGATGTGGGGCATGGTAACATGATTGCAAGGCTACTCTTTGAAATATGCATACGCCTTTATTTCAAATGGCTGTGAGGTATATGTTACGTATAATTCAAAATGCATAGTGAAACCTTCATTTCTGACCGTGAAGTATATTTGCGAGAACCTGACCACTGTTAAAGATACTGTGACATTTTTGCAAACAGTGCTGGGAAGTACAGATTATGTTACCTAAAAAGTGTCATCTAATAGATTACGTTTTTTGTCATGTAATTTGGAATGAAATTCATTTTCGGTATGTTTTATCTTACCTCAGGGGCATCCAAGATGTAGGCGTCTTTGTTTCTGCAGTTTGTTTCAATTTTTATGTATTTAGGTCAAAGCGTTTATGTCTATCAGTCATATAATGGAGGTCTATGGTCACCACCTCAAAGAGCATGCAGAGAGAAGTCCAAATTAAACATGATTTAATGACTTGTAAATGTAAGTACACATTGATGGCCTAAGACACAAAACGAGCGGTTTGTGTGAGAAAACGAACAGTATTTATATCGTTTTTACCTCTTGTAATCACAGTCACGTCCAAGTGATTTGAGGGCGCGGGCGCTTTGTGGCTTTGGTTACAAGAGGTAAAAACGATATATAATGTTGGTTTTCTCACACAAACCGCTCGTTTCGTGTCTTAGGCCATCAATGTGTACTTACATTTAAGAGTCATTAAATCCTGTTTAATTTGGACTTCTCTGTGCATGCTCTTTGAGGTGGTGACCATAGACCTCCATTATATGACAAGAATGGTTTGACCTAAAAATATCAAAATTGTGGATGCCCTTGAGGTAAGCTAAAACATACCAAAAATTAATTTCAACGTTAACTATCCATTTAAAGGAATAGTTCACTTAAAAATGAAAATTAGTTAATTATTTACTCACCCTCAATTTTTTTTCAAACTGGTATGAGTTTCTGTCTTCTGCTGAACATAAAGGAAGATATTTTGAAGAATGTCAGTAACCAAACAGTTGATGGACACCATTGACTTCCATAGTTGGAAAAAAAAAAGGGGGGTCCATCAACTGTTTGGTTACTGACATTATTCAAAATATCTTCTCTTGTGTTCAGCAGAAGAAAGAAATGCACAGTTTTGGGACAACGTAAGGTTGAGTAAATTATGAATGTGAACTATTCAATTAAAATCTCCACTACGGGTCAATCTCAAGTTAGAGCTAAAAGCATTAAAATGGTATCAGTGAATCATTTATTTGATTCATAATAATTTTTTTTTACTAAATCTGTGTAAAAAAAAACCTTCTAAATGCTATATATGGGAGAGAGGAGAGAGTGTGTTTTAATATTGCCTCGGATGCACTCACAGCGCTGCAATAAAATTTGATGAAAAATACAGCAATATAGCATTTTATCATGCTACTGCTTTATCTTTGAAAAAAGTAGCTTGAAGTTAGTTGCATCATGGTTTTAGTAAGTTACTGCTCAGAACTGAACCTGGCTGCGTTATAGTGTACAATGGAAAGCTTTAGATGCTTGTAAGTGTCATTTTTCTTCCCTTTTTCCTATACTTTTTTTAGTCCATGAATCCTTTTTACAGTGAAGTCATTGAAGTACAAAATACATGACTCAAATCTGAAGGATGTAAACACTGGTTGTAGAGACAGTGAAATGAGCAGAGTTGTCAAACACAAGACACAAATTGAAAACACAGCTCTTTTATGAAACATGAGTCAGAATTAGCCTGTGGGCATGCAGCGCGACTAGCGCACATTTGGCATAACCTCATTCAGTCACATTATCTTACAGGAACCAGAAAAACCTGCAACAGATACATTATTACAGCTAAAGTGAATGCGAGTGTCTGCCTTTGTAGGATAAAACATAATTACATTTGAAGTTCACATGTTAGAATAGGTTATATAACCTATAATTATCTTACAGCAATTCGTACAAATTTTACAAGGTGGATAATTCGTACGATTTCATACGACCTCACTCGTACATATTCATGTGATTTTTGCTAAATTGTACATATTTTACGAGTTGCTAAATTTGTATGAATTCGTACGAATGACCTCCCCCTGACCCCGCCCCTAAACCTACCCATCACTGGGGTTTAGACAAATCATTTGAATTCATACGAATTAGCCACCTTTTAATCGCTCGGACGAATTCGTACGAATTGGTCGTAAGATAGCGTTGCTGAAACTCCCTTTCACTAGCCAGTGTTTCCCCATGCTACCTTTGCACAGCGCGATTTTATTCACGCTGATGGGCAGTCTGGATACCATGGACCAGATTTTCGCCTCAGACGTCGATGACGACGTCTGTGCGACACACCGAAGCGGTTTGTTTATACCTATGGATCCAACATGGCAGCAGACGCGAAGTTACCTTTCGATGCAGCCTTAGATATTGTTCTAAGTGGTTTAGAATGCAAATAAATCTCGGACCCATCGTCTTCTTCTTTCTCTCTACATTCGTCATCTGGTTTAATTGAAACGATTGGCTATGAGCTACGTACAGGCGCATTTGATAGACATTCGTAGCACCCAATAAATGGCTCTGGGCATTCGTAAACCGAACCTCAAATACGGTTCCCAGTCCACATCTCAGTGTCAATGAGACGTGGTCTGACGTTAGCCAGGCTACCCTTTCACAGGATCATATGAGGAATTAAGTACAACACACAATTCAATTAATAATAAATGAATACAACTTTTATCCTATGACAAATTAACCCCTAAGCTGTCACCCCCCTTTTTGAGAATGGGGGTTAAAAAGCACTATTCAGACTTAAATGGTTGTAATTCAAGAATGCTTTGGAATATATACCCCAAGTTTGGTCTTGTTTTAAAGAAAACACTTCGAATCAGCACTTAAATCAAATATACTGTACGATAAATTTTTTTATTTTATATAAAATATATATTTTACAAAATATTTTTTACTCTAAAATAACTATAAAATCAAAGCCATAAATCTAGCCAAGTTACATATATATAGTTGATATCTCAAAAATTGAAGTTCCCATGAGATTTTGTTTAGGCGTAGTACCAAAAATAGCCACCGGGTGCCATTGAATTTAGCTGTATACATTCTGCCTTAACAAATTAATAAATTTCTGTCCAAATATCAGTTCTGTCTCAAAATTTTTATTTAAATTAATTAATTTCTGACCAGTAAATCATTTCCATTGACATTATGTAGCATGTAAGCTCTCTGGACTTGTATGCTTGGGTAGTGCTGATGATTGTGATATTTACCCACAGGACTCCTCCAGCGATGACTTCAGTGACACAGACAGTGAGAGCAATTTTCCCATCATGATCCCTCAAGATTACCTGGGCCTGGCTTTCTTCTCCATGCTCTGTTGTTTCTGGCCTCTGGGCATTGCTGCGTTCTATCTTTCCCAAAAGGTACTGGGCCATTCTCTTGGGCTTTTGTGGATATATAAATCTTATTGTTCATACAACAATGTTCACATATTGCAAATACGGAGTCCTATGTGACACTCACATACTTGTCTCTCCAAATTGATGTTTTTAACAAGACTGTGGTCTAGCAGTACTCTAGCAGTAAGCTAGATCAACATTAGAATAACATACTGATCATATTCTAACATTTCATCATGTTGAGCTATATAACATTGATTAGTTTTATGTACATTTGCTCACTTGTCTAATAAAGTACATGTAAGAGCGGCGTCTCTGTCAAGTCGAAATTAGTCGCGGACGCGGAGCTTTTGGCATCTCAGAAATGCCCCGCTGATATTGATCCTCATTTTAGTTCTCCTTTTGTCCCAAAGTCTGCCTGCCATGGTCCATAATGTTTGGACGAAACAACAACCGCGTGAGCGTGCCGCTAGACGTAACGCAGTTGTCCATGTCTGTCGCCATGGTTACTATGGCAGTACGAGCGGAAACCAGGGATAACGCGGATATTACGTCAGTGACAGTAAAAATTTCAAATCTTTGGGAACTTTTAGGATATTGTAAGTCCACAACTGCAGGAAATACAGTATATCACATTGAACATGTGATTTTTGGATATTTTATTACAGAAATCTTACATGTTGTAGCTTTAACCTTGTATCTTTTATGAACATTAAGAATTCTGATGTCATTCATGTCCTTCAGTGAAATATTATAAAAATGGCAGATGATGCATGGGAGATTGGAATGCCAACTAATGGAGAGGGGGAAAAAAGACAGGAAGAAAGAGGACACAACCCATAAATCATACACTTAGAAGTCCATTATATAGAGGACGGCAGCAGTCTTCCATAGTATCTGATAATAACATCTCATCTAGTCTCTTTAAATATATTTTGACTCCAGAATGTGAATATCAAACAAATGTAGTTTAATCTACATTTATATCTATGATAGATGGGTTCTATTTGCTATTTGTCCTGTTGTCAAGTAACTCACATCCAGAGTAGACTGACTACAGAGTAGACGGACGGACAGAGACAGATAGATAGATAGATGAATGGATGGATGGAGAGACAGTCTAGATAGATAGATAAATAGATAGATAGATAGATAGATAGATAGATAGAGAGACAGACAGTCATAGATAGATGACTAGAGATAGATAGAGGAGAATGAAAAAATAACTTTGCCGTGAGAATAGCAGAGCCTTTAGTTAGTTATAGTCATAGATAATTAGGAAGATCGATATAAAGATGCACCGACAGATAGACTTGTTCATTGTTCTGTGTCTAAAGGGCAAATTGACTGAAAGTGGCAGAGATTAGCAGAAAGCTCAGGGCAAGTTCTCTTTCGGGAGTGAGTGTGGACATTATGGATTTACACCTGAGGGTTTAGGCAGGATTACACTGAGATTTGCTGGATTATGGCACCAGCGAATCAAAGTGCCACGCGTAAGACTAAAACAAGTCAGCTTTCAGCTTTCTTGTCTCATACTCAGGCATTACTCAAACCAACCAATCACGGACCGTTTGCTGACCACCTGATGTATATCACATACAAAACTCAAAAGCTCTAATCTGGGGGTGTGTTTCCCGAAAGCATCGTTCCGTCGTTTTTTAGCATAGTTCAACGAGTCCGTGTTTCCTGAAACCATCGTTCCAACGAACATTCGCAAACGGCATCGAAAAGTTGTGTTTGGAACAACAGCTCTTGATCTGTGGTTAGAAGCAGAGTTCATTTGCATGATGTGGATTTAATAAATCCTGTCTTGAGCAAAATAGCTGACAAATGGCATTTATGTCTTAGAGTTTGTCAAGAGATTTAAAGCACTGTTTTTGAAGAGTGTGCATGTGTGAATGTGCTCTAGTGCAGAAGAACGAGCCTATGATTGAATCTAGAAATAAAGAAAAATAACTGAGAAAAATTAGAATTAGTCCATGGATGCCATGTTTGTAATTTATAGCAAAACATCTAGCATTAATTCAATCTCAAACAGATTCATTAAAAGAAGTTATTACTCCACCACCTGCGTGACGTCATTAACCAACGTGGTTTAATGATTAATTTGGAGCAATACGGTTTTAGGAAACAGTCGTGACTAGCTAGTAGATTTCCTCAACGATGCATCGTACTATGGTAGTTAAGCACGCACGCTTTATTGATCATCTTTACAAAAGATGTTTTTTGGAGATGGTCCTCACTGCAGAAGACGAAATCCAGGGGCATCTGGATCCAACTCCTCCCACCTAACCTATACTTAAACCTACCCATCTCCGCCCCCTGATCCCTAACCCCACCCCTAATCATACACATCTCCATCCCTGATCCCTAAGCCCTCCTCAATCCTACCCATCTCCACCCCCTGATCCCTAATCCCACCCCAATTCTACCCATATCCACAACCTGATCCCTAATCCCACCCCAATCCTACCCATCTCCGCCCCCTGATCCCTAACCCCACCCTAATTCTACCCATCTCCACAACCTGATCCCTAATCCCACACCAATTCTACCCATCTCCCTAACCCTAACCCTAACTCCACCCCCTGATCCCTAACCCCACCCATCTCCACCCCCTGATCCCTAACCCCATCCCAATTCTACCCATATCCACCCCCTGATCCCTAATCCCACCCCAATCCTACCCATCTCCACCCCTGATCCCTAATCCCACCCCAATTCTACCCATATCCACAACCTGATCCCTAATCCCACCCCAATCCTACCCATCTCCGCCCCCTGATCCCTAACCCCACCCCAATCCTACCCATCTCCGCCCTCTGATCCCTAATCCCACACCAATTCTACCCATCTCCCTAACCCTAACCCTAACTCCACCCCCTGATCCCTAACCCCACCCATCTCCACCCCCTGATCCCTAACCCCATCCCTAATCCCACCCATCTCCGCCCACCATCTCCACCCCCTGATCCCTAACCCCACCCCTAATCCCACCCATCTCCGCCCCCTGATCCCTAACCCCACCCATCTCCACCCCCTGATCCCTAACCCCATCCCTAATCCCACCCATCTCCGCCCACCATCTCCACCCCCTGATCCCTAACCCCACCCCTAATCCCACCCATCTCCACCCCCTGATCCCCAACCCCACCCCTAATCCCACCCATCTCCGCCCACCATCTCCACCCCCTGATCCCTAACCCCACCCTAATCCCACCCATCTCCGCCCCCTGATCCCTAATCCCACCCATCTCCGCCCACCATCTCCACCCCCTGATCCCTAACCCCACCCCTAATCCCACCCATCTCCGCCCCCTGATCCCCAACCCCACCCCTAATTCTACCCATCTCCGCCCCCTGATCCCTAACCCCACCCATCTCCACCCCCTGATCCCTAAACCCACCCCTAATCCCTAATCCCACCATCTCCACCCCTTAGATCTGGATCAAACTCCACCCCCTGGATCTTGTGTACTACAATGAGGTGCTACTGTTTTTTGAGGATTAGTAAACCACTTGATGCAACTTTTATTAGAATTTTTATTCTGTTCCAGCACCTTTTCAATGGAGGCGGCACAGACGTTCAGCCCTCACAGCCGACAAGACTGATCAATGATTTCATTCAGACTTTAATTAGTGTCATAATGAGAGACCTCTGGTGATTGATTTCCAATAGCACACAGGCTGTTGTCTAAAATGAGGGGATCAAAGGTGAATGGAGAAGAGAAACGGATAAAAGAGAGGATAGTGTAATGACAGAAAACAGGCATGCATTTCAATCATACGGTAAACAAGCTGGAGGGAGGAAAGGGACGTCCATCATTACTTATGATTAATGCTGCTGTTTATCTTCTCCACTCCAGACAAACAAAGCTTCAGCTCAAGGAGATTTCCAAGGTGCCAGCGCAGCATCTCGGCAGGCTCTGTGGCTCTCCGTCCTCTCCATCGTCTTCGGGATCATCACTTACATCTGTGCCATCGCTGCCCTGATCTCCTATCTGTCCGGGAAACCACCCTAATGACTATCATCTCTCCAAACTTCCAGAAACACACCTCCCTGATTCCACATCACACAACACTGCTCTTTACACACTCGCATTCATCTACATCTGTAATAAGTACATCCGTTCAGCAGTAGAGTCTGAAGAACACGGAGATGATTCAGATCGTAACAGTGTTCATAAGATTAGGAAAAAAAATCAAGTCGCTACATTTGGAGAGAGGGTAGATTTAGCTGAAATCTTTGGAGTAAAATCTGAAAGAGAGACTTGACACTTGTGTGTAAGTTGGCAGGGGAGGGAGGGAGGGACCGAGGCCTAAGGGTTTGTTAGAAAGGGAACTCGACAAGGACAGCGAGATCAGGAGATCACAGCGGACTTGGCTGTGAAACAGCAGGACTTTCCCTCTGAGACACATGACTCGAGAAAACTAGGTCGTTTTCTATCTGAGCTCTAAAGATGGTAATTGAACTGTGAAAACACCACAGTAAATGACTTTAGAACTCGGTTGGAAATTGCTAGATAGAAAACAAGTTCAAGTTCAGACAGATTCTGCAAATAAGAGGATGCAAAACAGGAATGCGCAGGCAGAAGTTCAAATGCGATGGGGTAAATAATACACACATATATCCTACAAATTCCACTGAGTCATGCTGTTATGAGAAGCTTCTCCTGGAGGACTCTATTCATAGCGTGATAAAAGACTCTCCATTTGTCTACCTACCAACAAAACTGTATGGAGACACTTCATATGACTCAGCTAAACCGTACCTGCAAACTCTGGACCGGCGAAAAAGGTGATGAATCAGTCATTTCTAAACAATCATGCGTTTTCTATACAATTGGTCTGAACAAAAATTGCAGAATGGCTAAATGAAAATGCAAAGTCAGTCTCTGACAGTTGGTAGCTCTTGTGGAAAAGCAGAAATACTGCGGTACACACTGCAGAGCTGCGATTATAAACACCACTGTGTTTACGCAGGCAGGACGGAAAGAAAGCGACGTTGAAACGTTTCTGAAGAACCTTCTCCTGAAGGAATAATCAGAGCTTGATAAATGTAGAGTCTCCATTTTTTTACCTAACAACACAACCATATGGAGACATCTATAATTCAGCTAAACCATACCTGCAGACTCTGGACCGGCAAACAAGGGAACAAGTCAGGAATAAGCAGTTGAAATCATTTCGTAAATCTCTCATTAGTATAGAATACAACTACGTGTTGTTTTGGTTGCAAAGTAGTTTGAAACAACATGATACCGGGAACAACCTAAACTGTGAAATAACCAAAAAAGCAAAGATTTGAACACAAAAAAAATGTGTTCCTGATGAGTCCAAATTAAAAGTGATTATGTATTTTATACTAAGATTATTAAGATTTATATTAAGACTGGCTGTATGAACTTATGGAAAAGCAGAAATACTTTATTTAGCAACACAGAATTAACGTATTAATAGGTAAAAATAACATTAGAACAATAACGGACAGCAAACGGTAAAACTATTTACGCTACAGACTAATGATTACAATAATAAATGAAAGTAATATTATAAAAAAGTTTTTATAATATAATATTATATATCCAGTGTTGGGTAAGCAGTTCAAATTAATTAATTACCACCTATAAGTTACATCTTCAACAGTGTAATTAATCTCTCTAAAATGCATTGGATTACTTATTAGTTACTTCCATAATCCCATATTAACCTCAACCAGATGAACAAAGTATTTAAAAGGAGAAGGTTACATTAAAAACATACATTTTAACACTAGACGTTAAATCTACTATTGTTTTATATAGAATTGTTCTATAGTCTACACAATTTTTAATACAATTGCATCAGAAATAACTAATTAAATTACAGAACAGTTAAGAGTAATCCAACTTTACTAGGGAAAAGTTATTAAATTACTAATGCATCAGCATAACAGATTGTTTTTGTCCAGCTAAAGATAACTAGTTAACATTCAAATTACAAATGGCTCTTACATTAAAAATAATGTGAATTAACATCACTGTAGTAAGCATTGTACGAAGGTCACACAAAAAGAAAATGCCATCATACGTTTTGTGAAGACAGTCGGTTCCCTTCAGAGACACATTCATATAAAGAGTTTCACCCAAAGGCGACGAGTTTGCAGGTATGAAAACATCTTTAAATGGTTTATATTCATACTGAGCTAAGCATATAACATGTATGTTTTGGGTATTTGCCAGTCTCGGCAGTGATTAACTTGAAGCTGCATTTGTGCGATTGAAGGCATGCACTTGAGATCATGAAATCCACTTGGTTAAAAGGGGATTCTGGGATATAGGAAGCTCAAACCTGGAATTGGTGACATTTCTACCACAGTAAGTCTGCATGGGCACTCTTTTTTTGCTGTAGCACTCAACTAATACGTCAATCTTCTGTGGGTCTACATTTCACCTTGATAACCCTACAGGCAAGCGATAAGCAGTGCCAAAAAACGCTTCGACTGAAGTGCTTTCATATTTCTTATACTTTAAAATCCAAATCCACCTGCATTCATATACAATTAATGGCACTCCCATTTTCAGCAGCATATTTATGTTTGTAACCCTATTTGACTGGTGAACTGTTAGCATAATCCACACAATAGATCTATCTACACTGAGTATCAGTATACAAAATGCACCCATAGATTCCCTAAACTTGACAATATAGCCTATAAATGCCAGAAATACACTATTGTTTAAAAGTCTGAGGTAAGTAAGTGTTGTTTTTTGTACAAAATCAACCCCAAACTTTTGAACGATAGGTGTACATCATAGAGAGAGTCGACATTCAAATGTCAAGTGCATGATACTATCAGAAAACAACACTATTAATGCCTGCCACAGACTGTACGATTTCATTAATCCTATAAGATAATTACAAATCACACTTTATGACAGATCTAATAAACTTAAGACATGTAGACTGGACGACGATGACGCCAATTGAATTGAATCTACGGCTACGACGCTAGTTATAATGTAAGCAATAGGTAGTACGAGAGGCTGTGCTGTATCGTGAATAAGTAACGGCTGAAGGGCGTTGTTAGGCTCGACGCGAAGCGGAGTAACCCCATCAGCCGTTACTTACACACGATACAGCACAGCCTCGAGTACCTTATTGCTTTTATAAAACGGTTACCACACAATAAAAATATTAAAGTAAAAAAAAATGTATTAGTGCAACTTTTATGATGTAAAATCACTAAAAGCCTTCCTTCCGCTAGAAAGAAAATAGTCCCTGACCGTGAACAGCAACATTCCAATGCGTGTTGCGCAGTGATAAATAGAACTGTTGGGTGAAACGGTCATAGCCGTGTTTTATCATGAATAAAGCTCAGCTATTGACCAATAAGAATCAATGATTGGAACTAACTGTTTTATAAAGAGATGTGCGATGAAATAAAGAGAATGAAGTGAAAGAGGATAATATGGACGAATCATGGCGAGGGAAAAGAGGACAACTCGGCTTTTCAATCTTGCAAATGGAGCTTTAGGGAAATCATTTTTTATTCCATGTTGCATTTTTATTGACTAGACGTATTGTATGACGTACAAGCCACAGAAATCACCATGATTGGTCATATTTCGTCTGGGATTGGTCAAAACCGTACAATGTGTACCAGGCATTAAAGATTGAAATGTGCCCTGCTCCAAAAGATTAAAGCCACAAAACAGCAGTCAGCATAAACTGCTTTGGCAGGTGCCCTTCAAGCTCCCCGTTGGTACAAATTAGGTCATATCATTGTAGGAAATGATGTACTACTTTTACAACGAGCTGCCCCACTGAGTGGAGGACAGGAGCGATAGTAGCACGGCTCCAGTCAGTAATCAGTAATACACAACACAGATATCCGAGAGCATAACACATTCATCTCGTGCATATGTGTATGTATATTTCGCTGGTACCTGTAATGAACAAATAAATGCACTTGATTGAAAATCGAATTAATTTTTCATTATGGCACCAAAGATAAATTATGCGGTATGAGCTAGAAAATGCAAGCATCTTGAAATCAACAAATTGATGTGTAAAGCTTTATGGGTGAAAGCATGTGGATGTGTGATAACATGCTCATATATTATGCATATGCAATGATAACAGAGTCAGAAAATCATCCAGTTTTATTACAATATAATTTACTGTGTTAAAAAAAAACATCTAGAAACATACAGCTGCGCTTGAAAGTTTGTGAACCCCTTGAAATGTAATTTTAACAAGAGGGATCATACAAAATGCATGTTATTTTTGATTTAGTACTGTCCTGAAAAAGATATTTTACATAAAAGTTGTTTACATATAATCTACAAGACAAAAACAACAACAAAAAAATAGCTGAATTTATAAAAATGACTTATTTTGTGATGGTTGTTCTGGAGTCCCCTGCTTGTCCTGAACAGTGAAACTGCCCAACGTTCTTCCTTTCTGAAGATCAAGGTAATAGAAGATCATGAAGGGCCATACTAAATAATAAATATTTGATATGTAAACAAAATAAGAAACATTTGGCCATCTTTATCCTGTTCAACACAAAAAATATATATTTTTTGAAGAAAGTAGGGAACCAGACTTCAGTATTTTTTTCCCAGCAACTGTTAAATGTCTGATTACCAATATTCTTCAAAATATCTTCTCAACATATCGCCTCTTCTCATCGACTAATGTTTAGTTGACTATTAGGGGCAGAACAAGTTATTATAGTGAAAATAAGTAAAGAAATGACAATGCAAACTCAAAGTAAAAATCCTAACCATAATGTTTTATTGTATTTTTGAATATCGCCGTTTGACAGAATCCCTATAAAACTGGAAGATCTGTTCAGAAGCCTTTTGACTGACTGCGATGCACTGCTGCAGCTGTGTAGGAAGAAAACACATTTGTGTCATTGCCTTGTAGAAAATTCGAGCAGGTTATGAAACACACACACACACACACACACACACAAGTACCCATGTATCATCAGCACAAACACAGCAATGAATCACATGCATCCGAGCTCACCTCGTGGACTGAAAACGAGCCTGAAGTTGATGCCATCAAAACACTGCGCTCAACGCTATCAATGGCAAATGTTAACAACGCTCGACTTTCCTGGAGGAGAAAACATAAAGAGACACGGATCAAGAGCTTAGCTTGTGCCGTATGGCTTGTGCCGGAAGTGCAGTGTACCTTCTCCTGCTGAGCCGAGGGGTCTGTGATTATCTGGCCCTCTTTGCTAATAGCGCAGGTCACGCCACAAAACAGGAGGCTCATGGGAAGCCCTGCATCCATTAGAGCCATACAGGCGGCGTTCAGGCAGCACGACAGCAGCTGACACTTCGATAAGGACGGGACACCGTGTGAATGACATTAATGTACACTAATGCTCTAAAGTTTGAGGTTGCAAAAGTTTTTAAATGTAATATGTAATATAAGTGTAATTTGTTCCTGTTTGTTTTTTGTTTTTTTTAAATGAGCGATTCTTTCGCTTGATAAGACCCTTTTTCACCATCAGAAATCGTTTAAAGCCCTTTGAACAGTTTGCAGTTTGTACTGAAACTCTCTTTTGGACCTTGAATCGTTTGGTTCCCATTGAAGTCCATTATATGGAGAAAATCCTGGAATGTTTTCATTAAATTCTTACTGACCCCAAAGCCAGCTTTTAACAAATTATAACATGTTCAGCAGACTCTTGAATGAATGAATGTAATGACTAGTAAGCATTAAAAACAAACGGCTCTCTCCAACAGTAACTAAACATAGTCGTAGGTGCAGTATATAATATTGACAGCTAGCGGTTGAACTGGGTCCTGCAGTCTAAATCCAAAGTAACTGGCTGCATCTGAAATCACATACTACCCTACTAGACTATATAGTAGGTGAAAATCAGTATGCAACAAAAGTGGTATGTCCAAATTTAGCAAAAAGTACCAAGATGACCTACCAAAACAAAAAGATATATTCCGACAAACATTTCAAAGTCGTATAACTGGCTGTAGCATTGTTGTGAGCATGTTTCCAACATCTATCCAAACATATTACGGTATTTCTATGCTTTAGTACAGTCTAATTTTTAATCTAACATGTATTAGAGCTAGTTTTGCTGGTGTTCAGGATACAGAGCCATCATCGTGGACGACCTGCAGGATGACAGTGAGAGAAGAGCGAGGATGAAGCGTCAACAGAAGAGCCGCCTCGCAGGTCTCGCGCACACACTGCTCTCGTGCCCGCTCGCGGACACCTAACAGAACACAACATGTGGAGATGTGATGGACAAACTCAGCTTGTATCATATCATACACACACCTAACAGAACACAACAGGAGATGTGATGCAGAAACTGTATCAGACTGACACCTAACGGTGAGAACAGGATATGCAGGAAGAGGTGTTTGAATAATGTCATTACTGGAATGAAAGCTATTTCTCATTAAACACTAACGTTAACATGATTGTTAGTAATGCAATTAAAGTCTTGAAGCGATTATTACATTTAACATATTTGAAGTGAAATTACATACTTGGAAGCCCCATTTTTGGCTGGATGAGAACCTCTACAGTCGCACGATCATAGATTTCCTTGCTGACTTTAACCTCAGCTGGTCCATAAACTCCAGCCAGAATACTAGTATCCCCTGAAAATACATTTACAAATCCAAAACAATGCAGATATGAATCAAACCGACTGCAGTCGCTCTGAATAAAGAAACAAATCAGTTACAAAACTGACGCAAATACCTTGAACAAAAGTAGAAGAGCCGTCAGGTCTTGATAACAAACTCTGCTCACTTCCATATTCCCTTAAAACTGAACAACTTTGATCCAACTCCATCATGGTCCTCACGCACAATCCGCTCGTCGCACGCATACACGTCATTGTTTAGCGCACCAGGATGACGACATGCCAAACGTTTGCCATCTAGTGGTAAAAGAATTGATGATTACCATGGTGATGACCACGATGCAACTAGACCGAATTAATCAAAATGTTGCTACAACTAATTTTAGTTTCAATCAGGAATTTATCATGGAAATAAATGAACACATTTCCTTGATATAACTGTAAAAAACTGTATTAATGTTAGTATCGCGCGACATTGTCCAGCAGGGTGCGCGCTGAATGGGCTCTTGATTCAAAGAGAGTCGACGTCACACACTTGACGACGTAAAGATGGCGGCTGTCAGGAGTGTTAAGAATTTATACGGCTTTGGACTTCATGCAGTCCGTCAAAATACAGCATTAAGGGCAACAACGCTTCTCCAGAAAAGGTCATTCGGCGTCGGTGTAAGTTTAAAATGTCGCATACACTCGATGAACGGACTTTTCTCAACAACAGAAGTTGCCCAACAGATGTAACGTTATGAACCCTGTGCAGCGGCGCGAGCCTCAAAACATTTGGCGTTATTTGGATTGTATGGCACAACAAAGCACTTTAATATAAATTACATGTAATTTATGGAATATAAATAACTTTAGGCTTAAAATGTTTAAGGCTTAGAATAATGTTAATGTGAATGTATTCCTTAGCTGACCTAAAAACCAAAGATAATTGCGTTCGACTCGTCTGGTCATGTAATAGTCATCTAATAATTTTTTTTTTCTTTTTAATCTTATAACTATTGGTCAGATCTGTGTGTTGTTGTGGGTAGCTGACTGTTTAACCTTCACAAGGCTGTAGATTAATACACTGAGAGCCGATTGGCTGGTTGAGGGGTGTGTGAGTGTGTGTGTGTGTGTGAGACACAAAGCATCCATGTTTCATTGAAGTACTTTCATTTAAATTTCATTGGCATGATTGTATTCACATACAATATTGCTTAAACATTATACAGAGGAAATAATAAGAAAGAAAAAACATACTAAACAATAAAATTATCTTAAAATAAGTGATGAATATTTATATACAATTCTTTACAGCAAGCACAAGATGTATAAAATATACATTTTTATCTTATCCTGTGTATATGTACTTATTTGTAAAAATATTTTAGAGAACTGTGAACTGTGTTTTTTTCTCTTTAAGTTTTTGAAGCTGAATCAAAATCAAAAAACGACCCCTATCACCTTTAAACCAAAACAAAGGGCAAATAAAAGATCTTATCACTACAGGTGAAACTGGAAAAATTAGAATATCATGCAAAAGTTCATTTATAGACTGCAAAGTGAGATATTACAAGCCTTTATTTGTCATAAATATGTAAGAAATATCTCACTTTGCATGTAATGAGTCTATATAATATATTAGTTTAACCTTTTAAGTTGAATTACTGAAATAATGAACTTTTGCACCATATTGTAATTTTTCGAGTGTTACCTGTAGGTCGTAACTGGCTAGTGAGCTGAGAGTTTTGCAGCAGTGTTTGTCCGATTGTTAATTATTATGTTATCATCAGATCTCCCAATGCACAGATGCTCTGATACTTTAGTGTTGTACTCCCTGCTTGTCTGTCTTCAGAGAGCTCTTGGCCAGCAGTCGTTTGACTCTTCAACGGAGAAGCCTCAGTTTCCTGGAGCCTCGGCAGAGTTTATAGATCATCTGGAGTTTATTCAGCCCAATGTGATCTCAGGAATCCCTGTCTATAGAGTGATGGACAGACAGGGCCAGATCATCAATCCATCAGAGGATCCTCAGGTGTGCAGTCGTACAGTCTGTAGCACGCATAGTGTGTGGAAATGAATAAATATTAATATTAATAAATACTTCATACTGCATCACTTGTGTTTCAGCTTCCAAAAGAGACGGTTTTGAATTTCTATCAGAAGATGACGTTACTCAACACGATGGACCGTATTCTTTACGAGTCTCAGAGGCAGGTGAGCGTGCCGTGGATTTTAGTGTCATACTCACTCCATCATAAAATGACATCTGACAGTTCATAATGCTTAAATTTGGTACGCATTTGTGTTGAAGGGCCGCATCTCATTCTACATGACCAATTACGGGGAGGAGGGCACACACATAGGAAGCGCTGCAGCTCTTGACCCTGCTGATTTGGTCTTCGGACAGTACAGAGAAGCTGGTGAGAAAGTGTACAAGCTGGAGATACAGTTACTCTCCCACTTTTGTCATTAATAAGTCTTAAACTTAAAAAAAAAATATATATATATATTATGAGTTGTGTAATCAAGGTTACTTTAAGTAACAAGTAAAGTTACTTTTTCAAACAAGTTACTTTGTTTTCTCATGTATTGTCTGACGGCTCTCCTGTCTTCATGTTGAGAGAAATCAGGAGTGAGTGCAGAGACGTTATTATAATTGTAGATCTAGACTAAATGTGAACAAATCAATGCGTGTCGGTAAAGTACTGCATATTTACATGTATAAATAATCATTTGAAGCATATTGTATGTTTTATACACAGTTAAAAAAGCCTGTGTTTGACAGAAATTAAAGGAGTAGTTCACTTTTCAAAAAACTTTTGCTGATAATTTACTCACCCCCATGTCATCCAAGATATCCATGTTCATGGTTTTTGATAAACACATTCCAGCATTTTTCTCCATATAATGGACTTCAATGGGAACCAAACAGCTCAAGGTCCAAAAGAGAGTTTCAGTGCAAACTGTTCAAAGGGCTTTAAACGATTTCAGACAATGAATAACGGTCTTATCAAGCGAAACAATCACTCATTTAATAAATAAGTAACAAAGTTTAAGTTTTATAAGCTCAAATGCTCGCCTTGCTCTGTTCTGTGATGCGCGTTCGTGACTCTCCTGTTCGAACTCGTTTATCAAAATGAACAAATCTCCTTTCCGAGTCAATTTGTTCATTGAATGAACCAAATGACTCGGAAAAAGATAAGTTCAGTCCATTTAGTAGTCCAAGAAAATATTCAAATGTCATATTTTCAAATCGAATACCAAACCACCGAACGAATATTCGAATATTCGGGTCCAGTCCTGAAGATGAGAAACAGTAACTCAAAAGTAACAACACATTACTTTCCTCAAAAAGTAACTAAAGTAACACAACTAGTTACTCAGGGAGTGACTCAATATCATAATGCATTACTTTTAAAAGCAACTTTCCCCAACACTGATGAAGTAATGCATTTTGTGTTAATATTTGACGTAGCATAATATTTACTTATTCAATTTAACAGAATTTAAGTATGTAGCAATATTTGATTAAATGTAATAGATTTGCTTCTGAATTTCTGTAGGTGTGCTGATGTACAGAGGCTTCCCTCTGGATATGTTTATGGCACAGTGCTACGCAAACGCAGATGACCTTGGCAAGGGCCGACAAATGCCAGTTCACTATGGCTGCAAAGACCTTAATTTTGTCACCATCTCCTCACCACTTGCAACTCAGATCCCCCAAGGTAAGAAGTGAGCATGTCTGTTACGGAGAACAACGAGAGTAGATACACTATTGTTCAAAAGATTGGGGTCTGATTTTGATGTTTTTGGAAGAAGTCTCTTATGTCAGTGGTTCTCAACTGGTTTGGCTGCGAGACCCACAGTTCCAATGGTCATTATTAGAGCCCGACCGATAAAGGATTTTGAAGGCCGATACCGATACAAATATTTTTGGGTTTTAAAATCCGATATATCGGCCGATATTTTATTTATTTATTTTAAACTGTACATGATAGTCACAAATTTTGTCATGCTTATTTGAGTTAAGAGAACTGATGGGGACGTTCTTTTAATTGTTATTCAAGCAACGTATGTATCGTGACCAACTCAACGAGTGTTGCCAACAGGGACGGTGTAGAGTGCCCTCCGGTGGACAAACTATACAACTCCAACACTCATGACATTGTTCAAGCGTGTTTCGTTTGTTTTATTTTATTTTTGAAATATTCATTTATTGGCCATTATAACTGCCGATACCGATAGTTTGGAAAATGCCTAATATCGGCCGATAATATCGGTCTGCCGATATATCGGTCTGGCTCTAGTCATTATGGCACGACCCAAAGTTTTAGGAGTTTGAACCAAGCTAATTTATTTCTCAAAAATGGCTGACACACAAAAATGTACCGCCCCACTTAATGTCACATGCACATAAATTGTAAGAATATCACTAACACTGATGAATGTACAACATTAGGTAAGTATTAAATGGCAGTCTCAAACTAGTTTAGTTGGTATGAACCAGCACTATATATTTTATAGAAAACAGCACAAAGTGAAAATGAAGTGGCATGGAGTGAATTTCTTTGAACAGTGGTGTAATTGTGTGTCCTGCTCTAGCGGCCGGCGCGGCGTACGCAGTGAAGCGGGAGAACACAAACCGTGTGGTGATCTGTTACTTCGGAGAGGGGGCGGCCAGTGAGGGAGACGCACATGCTGGATTTAACTTCTCCACCACTCTCGAGTGTCCTCTCATATTCTTCTGCCGTAATAATGGTTATGCTATCTCCACACCGACCAATGAGCAGTATAGAGGCGATGGGATTGGTAAGTAACTAGGGCTGGTATTGAGACAAATTTCACAATTCGATTCGATTTCGATTCACAAGCTTGCACTTCGATTCGATTTCGATTACGATTCAATTCAATATTGATTATTTTGGATATCAGTTACAATAAATGGCAATTTTTCTCAAGGGAATCAAATCTCTTAAATGCTGTAAACTGTGGGAGTCTAGTTAGCCTAATATGAAGGTAATAATGAACTGTTTTGTAGCTATACAAACACTTAAATTACACTTTTATTTATTTTTATAATAAGAAGATTATATGAAATATAAACATTTAAATGGTGACTGTCATAGAAACTTGTCAGATTTATTCATATGCATTAAATATTGAATAACATTAAGATTATAATGCATATGTAATATGGTGTATATATACTGTATTTAGCAAAATGCTCCTCTCTGGAGTTATTTTTTCCTAGCTGACTAACTAGTTGATGTGGGTTTTCTGAGGTAAATATGACAAGACATTGATTACAAGCTGTTTAACTGACGTCTTTCCACGGTTGAAACGCTGATTGAGCGAATGAATGTGACATGATACGGATTTCGATAAGTTGTACTCTTATCTTTAACACACTTTCAGATGCTCATTCATGTTTATTTCGCGCTGTGACTGGTATTATTAAGCCGGAAGAGAGATCAGCGCTGCTGCTTCTCCAGAGCGATCTCACGCCACAGCGCCAAAACCTTATTTATGTTTTTGAATTTCTAAAGAAAATGGACGTAATTTGAAATTTGAGACTTTGTTTCATATCAATAGTAACAAAGGACAAAGATTATTGCGATTTTTTTTTTGGATGCGCGCAGCCGCGATACAATGTCCCATTCATTCAAATGAAACAGGATGACTAATCGATTCTTGAGATTTAAAAATCGATATCGGTTCGTAAAAATGAGAATCGATTAATATCCAGAAATCGATATTTATTACCCAGCCCTATAAGTAACTGTGTTCCTCCCATGTGAATCTCTGCATTTCATTGGCCTCATTTTTTCCCCTTTCTCTCAATTTTCGTCCAAAGCTGCTCGAGGTCCAGGATATGGACTGATGTCGATCCGTGTCGATGGAAATGATGTTTTTGCAGTGTACAACGCCACGAAGGAGGCGCGACGCAGAGCGGTGGCTGAAAACCAGCCCTTCCTCATTGAAGCCATGACTTACAGGTAGACTTTATCCACATGAATCCGCTGAATATCAGGAACAGGATTAGCCATAAACAGCCTATGTGGCACAGTGTAGACCTGGAGGAGAACACGTCCGTGCCATTAGGGGTTGGGCCTATTTTTACTGTATGTAGAGTAGCAAACTCAGCAGAAAACACTATGAGATGCACTGTGAACCTATTTGTCAACACAATATTTTGCTATGTAGGCTTTTATGAAGCAGCATGAAATATGTAGGAGAGAACTAGACTATTGCTTGGGGAGCGAAGACGTGTCAGGTTTGATCCAAGTTTCTTACAACAGCTTTTTTTGTTTTTTTTGTCCATATTGCACAGGCGAGGCAAGGTGCTTTTATTTATAGAGCACATTTAAAACAGCCACTGCTTTACAATCACTTCAGACAGTAAATACACAAACAAACAGGAACACTCAAATTCATAAAATTACATTAAACCAAAAGCCAGAGAGAAAAGATAAGTCTTTAGTGAGCATTTAAAGCCATCAGCATTTGAAGACAGCATTTAAGTGTTCCAGCAAGTCATTCCAGAGACGTGGAGCAGCGGCAGAGAAGGAATAAACCACCTTTAACTTCAATTTAGATTGTGGCACAGTCAGCATCAACTTGTTTGAAGACCTTAAGGGCCTAGATATGTTGGTGAGAATGTCAATCAGACGTGTTTAATGCCTGGTTCAGATTACACGACTTTAGCCCGATTTTGGCACGATCCGTTTTACGTGCGGTGTCGTGGGGATTCGTAAACGACAAAAGGCGTCGGGACGCGAGATTCGATTGTATCATCTCGTATAGTGTGTCAAAGTGGGCGACAACCTACGTCGCGTCTGCGATGCTTCACGACATCACGACAAAAAGACTAATTTATTTAACAGTCGTTTATTTTTACATTTATTTTAAAACGAAACGAAAGAGAGACGATGGTGCTAACGTTAAAACTAAAAGTAAAATTATATAAGCAAACAATATTTACCTCAAGTTCTCTTTGGAGGATTGACAGCCCATAGTCCAGGAACGTGTTCATTGTCGGGTTTTCTTTCTTTTTTACTTTTTTCTGAACACAGAACAGCCAATTTAACACTCACCGCTTCATCCATTGTTTGTTTACGTTCGTTTCCGGAAGTCACTCGCTACTAGTTTCGCCTTCTCGATGACATCACACGCGCCGTTAAAGAGGCCATGCGATGACTGGTCAGGAAGCAACGTGTAGTCTGACGTGTGTCTTGTCCACGACATGACAAGATTTTAGGAGTCAAAATCACGTAATATGACACAGTGACTGTCGTAACAGACAAAAAAAATCGCCCAATCTGAACCAGGCATAAGTTAGTCAGAATACTCTTGTGAATCCTTTCGGTGTAACAAAGTCCTTGGTTATATGTGTCTTCCTACGTGGTTGTTTTAGAAATTAAAATCTATACACTCCATTAGGGTTGAAAGAACTGTCGCCAAACATATAACATGCTAGAAACAAAATAATCACTGCAATTATAATGATCATATGGTTGACTCTTAAAGTGATACTCCAGTTTTTTTGGAAATAGGCTCATTTTGCAACCCCCCCAGAGTTAAACAGTTGAGTTTTACCGTTTTTGAATCCATTCAGCCGATTTTCTGATATTTAGAAGAATATCTCTAACCAGACAGTTTCTGGTCTCATTGACTTCAATAGTAGGAAAAAATATATACTATGGAAGTCAATGAGACCAGAAACTGTCTGGTTACAGATATTATTGTAAATATCAGAAAATCGGCTAAATAGATTCGAAAACAGTAAAACTCAACTGTTTAACTCTGGGGGAGTTGCAAAATGAGCCTATTTCCAAAAAAAGTGGAGTATCCCTTTAAGCAATTGCCCATTTAAAGGGATACTCCAGTTTTTTTGGAAATAGGCTCATTTTACAACCCCCCCCCCCCCCCCAGAGTTAAACAGTTGAGTTTTACCGTTTTCGAATCCATTCAGCCGATTTTCTGATATTTAGAAGAATATCAGTAACCAGACAGTTTCTGGTCTCATTGACTTCAATAGTAGGAAAAATATATACTATGGAAGTCAATGATACCAGAAACTGTCTGGTTACAGATATTCTTCTAAATATCAGAAAATCGGCTGAATGGATTCGAAAACGGTAAAACTCAACTGTTTAACTCTGGGGGAGTTGCAAAATGAGCCTATTTCCAAAAAAACTGGAGTATCCCTTTAAATCCAAACACTGACCTCTCTGGCCGGGCAGTTTATTACATAAAAGTCGTCATTTCTGCACATATTATCTTGATTTTTTTACTGAAATATCACTGCATCCCTAGTGTTGTGAAATGAAGCCTTTGATTTCCTCTCCCATGCAGGATCGGGCATCACAGCACCAGTGACGACAGCTCCGCGTACCGCTCGGTGGACGAGGTGAACTACTGGGACAAGCAGGACCACCCCATCTCCCGCCTGCGACACTACATGACGGCCCGCGGCTGGTGGGACGAGGACGAGGAGCGCGCCTGGAGGAAGCAGTCCCGCAAACTCGTCATGGTGGCCTTCGAAAAAGCTGAGAGACGTCTGAAACCCCACCCCGACCTGATGTTCACGGACGTCTACGATGAGATGACTCCTCAAATAGCCAGGCAGAAAGACGCCATGTGGCGGCACGTCCAGCAGTATAAAGAGCATTACCCACTTGATCTCTATGAGAAATAGGCCGTGGGATGTGGACACTTCTGGAAAAAAGTCTTGCACATGTCAGATTGTTTGAATTCTCTCTTTTTCCCCGTTTCTTCATTTTCATGTTGCATTAAAGGGATACTCCACTTTTTTTTTGAAATAGGCTCATTTTACAACTCCCCCAGAGTTAAACTGTTGAGTTTTACTGTTTTCGAATTCATTCAGCCGATTTTCTGATATTTAAGAATATCAGTAATCAGACAGTTTCTGGTCTCATTGACTTCCATAGTATATATTTTTTCCTACTATGGAAGTCAATGAGACCAGAAACGGTCTGGTTACTGGTTTTCTTGAAAACGGTAAAACACAACAGTTTAACTCTGGGGGAGTTGTAAAATGAGCCTATTTCCAAAAAAAGTGGAGTATCCCTTTAAATACTGAAAGATGTGTTGTTATCCTCCATATTTGCCACTAGAGGCCTCCGTTCTGTCATTTTGTGCCTTTGGAAATGGTGTAAAAGGAGTGGAAAATGGTTGAAGATCTACACTGTCCTAATGTAGCAAGTGTTTTAATACAGTATCATATTGACAAGCCAGTCACTATCATTTCTTCATGAAAATCTGGAATAATTCCTGTGATATAATAACTTCATTAAGGTGTTCTTCATTCAGTATCTTTGGAATATGGGTTTCTAAATCACTCGTTTCCCCATTAACAACACTACTACTCACTGAAAGTGATTGTAACACATGCTTTTGAAATGTTTATTTTTGTTTGATCGTTTACCTTTAGACTTTCCACTCCAAACTGAGCCATTAGTAAGTATATATACAATATGTTACTGGTGTGTGTGCTGTTAATTCACCCCCACAGATGATTTGTTTAGCTGTGATTGTTGCTTTCTGTGTAAGACTCACTCAACTGTTACATGACATGATGACGTGTTTGAGATGTATTCTGATTAACTTTAGGGGATTGTAAATTGTATTTTAAACAATAAAGATGCTCATAAAATGTAATTGCTCATATAGTGATGTTCTTACTGTATATAGGCTTGTGTTATGGTCGTAACCCCCGTGTTATGGAGACTACAGTGGGCTTTAAATATGTAATTACTGATGGTGATTGAAGTGTTATGCACACTAATAATGTTCAGTGTGTTGTGGAGTCTTTCATTATTGATGAGGTCGAGTGAAACGTTAACTTAAATGCAGAGGACGGCAAAGTCAATGAAGCGACTTAAAAAAAGTCATTTGTATGTTTATATATATATATATATATATATATTTTAGGGCTGTGCAAAAATTAATTGCGATTAATCGCATCCAAAATAAAAGTCTGTGTTTACATAATATATTTGTGTGTGCTGTATATAATTATGTTGTATATATAAATACACACACATGCATGTATATATTTAAGAAAATGTGTTATTCATATATAAAATATTTATATTTATATAATATAGATTATGTATTTATAAATATATACAGAATTTAAGCGCAAATAATTCTTAAACATATACATGCATGCATAGGTATTTATATATACAAAATAATTATATACAGCACACACAAATATATTATGTAAACACAGACTTTTATTTTGGATGCGATTAATCGCAATTAACTTTTGCACAGCCCTAATATATATATGTAAATGTGTGTGTGAAATATATATATATATATATATATATATATATATATATATATATATATATATGGGTGAGATGTGATGGAAATGTTTTGAGAGATTCATGAAAATCTTTGACTCATAGGAAAAATAATATAATTTAATCATTATATTACCAAATCTTATTCTGGTAAGCTGAAGCTGTGTGTGTGTGTGTGTGTGTGTGTTACTTTCAGCATGATATAAAGCTCTCAAAGCAATTACACAATCACACAAAGGTCAAGACTGCCAGAGCCCATTTTTAGGCAATTTGCTCATAGTGTTTCTTGTGAGCTCCCTCCATTTATCACTCCAGTAATCACCAACCTTTGGGCATCAGATACATTTCTTTCTCTTCTATTATTGAAGCAGATTTCCCCCCAGATTTCTATATAAAAGATAACAAATATCATCTCTGCTTCCTGTAAATGATTGTACATTGAGTTTAATCAGACATCAAACCTTCTCATATCACAACCAAATTAAATATATGCAGTTTTCATATTTTAGCTCCTGGCGATTCTCAAAATGGCTTCTGTTGTTAATAATTCCCTGTTTTGGTACGTTGAGTCTCTGATGCTCATTTTTGTCTCCGTTTACAGTAACATTTGTCTAAGGTGGCGTGGCAAATTGTCAGAGAGAAATCTAGTATTTTAGGGGCATTTTATTTGACCAACACATGTATTTCCATAATACTCACAGTATTTATTATTTTTTTCCAAAAGAGGTGTTCAACTTTCTTTGTCAATGTAAATTCCTTTTAACAACAAAAATAATGTGCAATGTTGCATATGACAGTCAGAATCTGGAATACAGATTAAATGTTGTCCAAGAACATAAAAACAACAATATTCAAATCGGTATGTGTCATAGCAATGGGTCTGATTAGCATAAATGATGAGTACAAACAGGAACATTATAGCAGATTTGAGGAAATCTGTCACAACAACAGCTTGAGTCTGACGGTGGCTGCCTGGTGTTTTATGATGCAACAGATCTTGTGAATATTTTCCTGGGCCATTGCATTTTCTGTTCAAAGGCATGGCTCTTTCAAAAGCACTGATTTTCTTCTAAAAATAACGTTTTACAATTTGTCTCATGTTTCCTACTTACATTGATTGTTATTGGGTCTGTTTTACGATATATATTTTGAATAGTTTTCAATGACTATTCACACATTAAAAGACTGTAATAAGCATTTTCCCTCGGTTTTCACAAAGGCTTAAGATATCTCAGATTAAAAATGCATTTTTGAGCTGTTTTAACTGAAATATCTTCAAAGATGTCAAGATGCACACCAGTGTTGTTTTTTTCTAAGGTGCGTTTATAAAAAACTGCCTAATCCTGCCTTAAAGGGATACTCCATTGTTTTTCATATTAAATTTATGTTATTCCATTAAGTAAAACGAGTTGATACACACATCTCTCGTCTCAGTGCGTGTGCACTCAATCGCATCCCTCTGGTGCGCGAGACCGCGCGAGAAACTTGATCGCACTTGACGTTAGCTTAGCCCAGTTCATTCATTAGGATCCATTCCAAGCAGAGAAGCGATCAAACACATCCACGTTTTCCCTATTTAAATACATTAACACGAGTAGTGTAAATTGACCAAGAATGGTGACACAAAATAAAACGTTGCGCTTTTCTAAGCGTGTAAAGTGGATAATATTGAATGGCGGAGTACCACAGCAAATGCTTGGGAGCACTTCGACTCGGCGCAGGACTTTTCACGAGTGATGATATTACTGCGCCGAGTCGAAGTGCTCCCAACAGCCAATCAGAGTTCTCCCTCTTTCACTATGGATTCAACATGTCGGTCGAATCGGCCAACGAGGAACAAATACACCAGTCGGCCGACGCACAAAAACTGCCTTGGTGTTTTACAGGCTTAAAGCAAAACACTGTCTTGTACAGGTGAGAAAGCTGTTGTCATGTGCACCATAATGCTGTTTAAAGAGTAGACAAAGTACAATTTTTTCAGGTGGCGTAGGTTTGATTTTGAAATTGGTGGGGACGGGGACATCAGTAACGTTATATAAATATAAAAACTATTGCTTGGGATCAGTGTCACTGGATATTGGTTTTTGACACGTCGCTAGTGTCCCTGTAATTTTCATTGATATCACTGAAAATTGTACATTTGATTTACATGCGTGTGTAAATCAAAACAATAATAGGCTACATTCAATGACTCAAACAAACCACATGGTCTTTTTTCCTATCACATTTATTATTTTCTGACATTTTTGTTCTCTTTCGTTCTGAGATGATCTGTGGAACAAAAATAAGAACATTTACAAGAGCAACATGCAAAAAAACAAACAAAAAAAGTTTCATCTTGCAGCTTGCAATTAAGAGAGAAGATCAAAGTGGGTGTTTTTGGGCAAACATACTCATTTCAGCAAAAGCTCTTGGTGGGCAATGTGGAAAATCTGAAAATATACAAAAATAAATGACCAAGCCACCTGGCATGATTTTGGATGATTATACAACTGTGCTAATGTGCATTGGAATCTGATGTATAGATCTGGAAATCAGGAGAGATATCTTTAATAACAGGAGGCTTATGCCGCAGGTCGTGGTTTTGTCGACAGCTTTTAATGAGCCGCATGTTTTGTTCAGTCCATCGATCAAGTCCCAGTTCAGAACAGAATGAAGAAAAACACATGGACCTGTGCTGTTTGTGAGCCAGTGTTTCATAAGGATAAGAAAGAAATGGATGCAGGCGTTTTATATTTCAGTTTCAAAAGAAAAGACTCTGCAGTGTAAATAAATACATAAATATATCAACATAGAATAAATACATAAACCTCGTACATCAGTTGTTTTTCATCAACAACACATTAAGTGGGAATTTTGTGGCAGCATCTGACACAAACAGATTCAGCTGGTAAAAAAAGGCATTTTTTAAAGAATGAATTCACACGTTCAAATGTCAACTTTATATTTTGCTAATGTGTTGTTTTTTTTAAAAGCAAACGATTTGATTCTAGCAACTAACAGGTGACGGTAATTGTCTTGTGTTGTGAGCAGACGTGCACTCCTGTGCTCTGGAAAGAAAGAAAGGGTGGATGTGGTTTTTTAGAGCATGAAATGAAAACAAACCTGGCAGAGAAGCTGACCCGTGAGACCACAGACTAATGAAGTGCTGGGAACAGATCCGAATCAAATAAGTGTGGCCAGAAAGACAGTCAAAGACAGTCAAAAAAAAAATTTTTTTTCTATGGTTTTCATCTTTTAATGGACTGAGCAATAAAAGATGGAAAAATATATAAATAAACAGAAGTGTTCTTTCGGTTTAATGGCGGTCCGCTGTCCTTCATCAGTCTGCGTGTGTATTGTCTGAAGAGGCTTTTGAAACGCAGTAGGGATGTGGTACTTTGTCAGCCGTAGATAAGAGCACAGAGTTGTGTGTGCTCAGTGAAGTCTTTGATTCGCACAAACTTCACAAATTACAAAGAAACGAGGAGTCGCTTTTCCTGAAACATCCCAGAGCAATAATCCATCACATCCCACGAGGAGGAGGAGGAGATTTTTTTTTCTCCATTAAACATGTGCTGTTCACCCTAAGACTCACAACTGATTGATGAGCTAATTATGGGCTTTTAAAGCATCAAGAGTTACTAACCCTTTCAAATAGTTTGACAACATTGAAATGGCATTGAAACCTTCTGGTCCTCAAATAGGTCTAAGGTCAGACATGTGAAGTATTTGTGCTTGACCATGTTTTTTAACACTGCTTGTATAGTAATGCAGCAAAACTCGACATTACCCGTAAATGTGTTTTCCAGATGAAACGGCTGGAGATCTTGTTTCATTTTTGTGCTCAGGGTTAAGAAGTATTTGTTCATGCCATTGGTGTTTATTATAGATTCTGCTATGAACTGCTGCTGCTTTTAAAACTTTAACCAATGTTATGAGACTTGGTAGCTTCAGATGGTAGAGTCAGAATTTGGCATAAACAGAATGAGAACATGGATCCATCATGCCTTGTTACCACTGTGCAGGCTGGTGGTGGTGGTGTAATGGTGTAGGGGATGTTTTCTTGGCACACTTTAGGCCCCTTATGGCGCTTTTCCACTGCATAGTACGGTACGGTTCGGCTCAGTACGCTTCGACTCGGAACAGTTCGGATCGCTTTTTGTTTCCACTGCAGTAGTACCCCTTCAAAGTGTGTGGGACTGATCGTTATTTGCGCGCGCCTCTACTGCCATGACATCATCTTAAAAGCGCCACATTTTCAAACCCACAACACAGGAACAATGGAGACTATCGAGGGGATGGTGTTCCTGATTCTCGGTATGTGGTTGTTTTTAACTGCTAGACGGAAAAATGTGTTTAAAATGAGGCTGATGGCAGCAAAACAAAAATACTGCTAAAAAAGTGTCTCGTGTCGCAAATCCAATGACGCTGGTAGTGACGATTCTGTCTGACCAATCAGTGATCTGCAGTGTTTCACGTCACATTTTAGTACCGGTACGGTACGCTTGGAACCTCAACAGACCAGGTACCATTTAAAGCGACCCGAAGCGAACCGTACTGTACCGTACCATGCAGTGGAAAAGCACCACAAGTGAGACGTATCGAACCGTACCGTACTATGCAGTGGAAAAGCGCCTTTAGTGCAAATTGGGCATCACAAATATCGAGTATAAAGTCGTGTTTCGAGAAAAAAACTCGTTAAATTTCGAGAAAGAAGTCGAAATACAATCTTGAGAATAAACTAATTAAATATCGAAAATAAAGTCGTCGTGCTTCGAGAAAAAACTCGTTAAATTTCGAGAAAAAAGTCGAAACACAATCTTGAGAATAAACTAATTAAATATCGAGAATAAAGTCGTCGTGCTTCGAGAATAAACTTGTTAAATTTTGAGAAAAACGTCGTAATACAATCTTGAGAATAAACTAATTAAATATCGAGAATTAAGTTGTCATGTCTTGAGAAAAAAAACTCGTTAGATTTCGAGAGAGAAGTCGAAATACAATATTGAGAATAAACTAATTCAATATCAAGAATAAAGTTGTCGTGTTTCGAGAAAAAACTCGTTAAATTTCGAGAAAAACATCGAAACAATCTTGAGAATAAACTAATTAAATATCGAGAATAAAGTCTTCGTGCTTCGAGAAAAAACTTGTTAAATTTCGAGAAAAAAGTCGTAATACAATCTTAAGAATTTTAACGAGTTTAATCTTGCATTATAATGACTTTAATCTTGAGATGGTTTTATTTTTTTATTATTGCTTGGCCCTAATCCTCTTTCCATACATATTGCAACTATTGCAGCGTCCATATAAATTTCGCATCTTCAGTCTAGCGTGACCGTGGCTGGCCGGCTTTTCCCAGTCTACGACTGTCGCACTTGGCCCCCTAGTGGTAGTTTAAAATGAACTGTGTTTCTGCTTGTGTCTCCAGTAAAGAAGCGTGCTTGAGCATTCACCCTCCACCTGTTGACCATGCTGAGGTTAATAAATACATGAAAACATGCTGAAAAATGTATAATTTAAACATAAATTACTTTTATTTATTTATAACTTCCGTTCTACTGAAGCACTAGGAGTTTCGGATAAAATTATTGATAGTTCGCACTCTGATTAAATCCGATCCGGGTTGAACAGTCTAATGCCGTTTTGTTGTACAATTTGAGAAAATGTCGTGAGAAATCAGGTCTCCATCAACTATCCAAAGGACAATTTTAACAGATTTTTCGCTCTGCAATGCCATTAGTATATGTAAATGAACAATGTATACTCTTTCTCCATGTTATCTGTACCCAAAAATCCCTGTTTATTTGTTACTGTTAACTGTTAAAACACCATAACTTTGTAACAATACAAGGCTGATTTAATATCAGCAAAAATATCCTTCAATAGTTATAAGTTCACACAAATTAATCTAAAATATGCATATAATTGCTTACTGTTTAGTGCATAAGAAAACACATGTGACGTAATGTAATGGCGTTCGCTTTACAAACTATTAATAAATAATAATAATATGAATTAACTCGTTGTGAATACATGTAGTCTAAGTGCAAGTGCAGTGTGTGTAAGCTAAGCAGGCTAATTTTGTATCTGTGTGGCATGCTAGTATGTAAGGTAACTAAAACAGACATTAAATGGTAATTATAACGTTCAAATTACATATACTGTAACATGATTTTGTAGTCATTTTATCCAGGCTCACATTAAAAGTTATGTCAGTCAGTGGTGTTACTTGGGGTCCTAATGGAGACTCAATTTCCCTTGACACCAGAACCAGGATCGGGCCATTCGAAATAAACGATTTTGGGTCTATAAAATGGATACACAAACTGAGTCTAACGCCAATCAGGTCAGATGTATCATAATATTAGTTCATCAGTCTTGAATATTCACATGCTCATGGTTTATTTAATTTTTTTATGTAAGAAACTAGCTTTCTGCAAGCTGAGATTTAGTTCGCGCTAGATTCCCAGGTGTCTCAGCTTTAGCTTCATTAGTACAGCAACATGTCTTCAAGACAGATCTCCTCTGCAAAGCCCAAAGCTTCGGTTTGACACATTAATACATCTGAATATTTACTGAGGCGAGCTCTGTGCTGCTTTTGGAGGCTAGCTCAATTAATACTGAAGGCTAACGTAAATGTAAAACCCTTTACCCATCAGCTCCGTCTCCTTTGGTAGGACCTCTGTGAACATGAGTGAAGGATTATGAATGTTGTAATAGTAAACTAAAACTATGGATTCTTACTTTAAACCGAAGTACAAATACAGTAGTTACATTGCTCGTTCTGTTGAACGCTAGATCACTTTATTTTAAAGTCTCTGATAGTTCATCTTTAAGTTATATTTACAACGCATGTCCTAACAGGAACAATGGACACAGAGGAACAAATTCAAGTGCTATTTAGGTCTTAGTCATGATTCATGAGGACCGTGTAACAACAACCTTGTAATCGCTAAATCCAGTATAGCAGCTAGCCCTGGTATTATATGATTTAATACCGCAGAGTGACGCTGAACTTGTATTTAGGCAAAATATCAGTAGTGCTGTGCTAGCAAGACAGTGATGTAAACAACAAAAACAAACGTAATAATACATATTATATATAAAAAAAGAAGACATTCCCTTCTTTAGGTTTAAGTATCGGTCTGTACGACATTGACGTTCCTAAACTGATGACCATTCGAGATATCTTGTGTCTCTTCTCAACGGTGAGTTCATAAAATCCAGGAAGTGAGCAGTTATAACCGTTCATGGATGATCAATATACACCACAATATTCTCGCCTTCTGGTTTTGTTCTCGCAAAATACTGATGATATTGCCTTTAAAAAGACTATCTGTGCTTTAGAATAATAGGTCCATCTTGTTGAACTCATTCAGTTGTGGTTTACAGGAAAAAAAAGCATCCAAACTGTACAAAAATGTGGTAGTTGGTAATAACTCCCCGCCATTCCCTTTTGGGTCCTGCTGGAAGCATCCCTGCAACGCAAAGTGAGAGGAGTGTTCAGTGTATACATCTGTACAGAGCCACACTTCTCCCACTTCGCAGGGCCAGATGCGTTTTAAACACATGATCTCGTGTCCTTCAATGACCCCATGTTCGCTCAGTGACGCCGTGATTAAGTTGCTTTTTCATTACCGGCGTTAAAGCAGATGTCAGATCTCCACGTTTGGGTCTGTGAAGCCTTTCTTGCCTTCATTTACCAGGACAGGTTTTTCCGTCCTTGTGTGCCACACAAGAATCTGTAATAAAAAGCAAAAACATATTATGGTTTATGGAGTGGAGAGACGATAATTTGTCATTGCTTCACAGTGCCGGGCCAATGACACCATATAGTGTCTTTTTATATGTTTGTATATGAAAATACAAGCAATTTATTATCACAAGTAATTTATTATTTAGGAAAAATGAGTCACAGTGGGTTCCCTGATTGTAGCCACTTCCATTTTTATTAGTTATTTTGCTTCAATTTCCTATTTTGTTCTCTTGAACACATGGGATGGAAATAATGTTAATGGAAGCAAATGTTTTATGTGATACTTCAAGTTAAATTCACAACTTTGGATAGAAACATAGCAGACCATTTTTGGAGCACCTTGTTCTTTTCTTTGTTTTTCTAACCCATTATATCAGTCAGCATCAAGTGCCATATATAATTTTTAACAGGAGAACTTGAAGTTTCAATCTGTCTCATTTAAGTAATCCAATTTTACATTTAATTTGTCTTAGAATGGATGAATTTACCAGATTTAAGAAAAACGGCAGCATATTTGTAGTGATTTTTTTTTTTTTACTCAACGCAAAACAAATCCTCCTGAAGTTTGGATTGTTTCCTTTAGAAAGCTGTACTTGGATATTTTACATTTTCAAATGTAATTTTGACTACATTTAACAACCCCTAAGCAAGTTATAGGCATTTATTACAACATTATTATAGGCTATTTTCAGTGAAAAGCATTTTCAGTGTTTCAGTGAAAACAGTGTTTTTCATACTGACAATTTAGATATGTCCAAAAAAGTTAAGGAAGTAACATAAATAGAAACATTGTAGTAGAAAAATGAAGCAAAAAAAAAAAAACCTTTTAATATATATACACACAAACACACACACATAGCCTATATGAACTACTTTGACTTTACCTCAGTTCAAATTTCCAAAGAAAGATGCTAATTGGTCGTGCGAAAGACCAAGAACTACATTTATTGGTTGAGTAGATGATAGTTTTAACCAATCTGGGGATGGGGTGGGACTAAGCATTAACAGTCATTTATGATTGGCTCAGAGGAAAAAAACGCACAGGTTTCTTTGACGAATCAATGCTGATCAAAACTTGATGACGCAATCACATTTACTACGGAGCTTCTGAATTTCCAAACGCGATTAACCCGATATCACAGAAAAGCCGTGAATCTCCTTTTTATGAGACTTTTTAAAGCATACAGATTGGAGTAGCGGTTCAAAAGTTATTTAAGAAGAACAGTTATTTTTAGCCGCCGGCGGCCGTATAGGTCTTTAAGGGTTTAAGGTTAATTGTCATATACATTTAAAAAAAAAAAAAAAAAAGAGCGGGCTTAGCCAAGAAAAAAATGATCGGTTTGCCTTTGTCATTGTCATCTCTTCGTTAAGTCTTGTTTTCAGAATAGTTTTTGCTCCATCTGTCTTTCTATTGATCTTAAAGGCTCACTGTCAGACCTCCTACACGGATATGCTCACAAACACTCACAGTTAACAATCCACGGCCTATATCCACATTTAACATCTCTAACAACATGTCTCTGGGTGCAGATCTGAAGTGCTGTGGATTTTTTTTAAAGTCTTATGTGTAAATTTTATCAATAAGTTCAATAGAGTGCCGAAGTTACGACGTCACTCTGTAGGCCAAAACGCGGAAGTGAGTTAGCAGTTAGCACTCCCGGTTCCCTCGCCCTAAAGTCTATGGGATTTTTGAATGGGTTTTTGCTAAATCGCCTGAAATAGGGTCTGTGGTGAACAAAGCCTCTAAATATATTCACGTTTTGATCTATGACATAAAACACACAGTTATAACCTGCTTGTGTTTTTTAAACTTTATTGTGTCTGCTTGTGTTTTCAAAAAACTTTATATGGGCTTCAAAATTTATAAATTTTGGATTAACTTGTAAAGATTATCTTGATAGACAAAATGTGTAAGGTTCACAACTCTTTGTTGAACACAGATCTTATTTTTTGCGATTTTCCAAAAGTCTATGAGGAAAATGCATTGCTTTTCGGTCGAGGGAACCCATGCGCCGCTAACTTACGAGTTGTCCTACAAAGTGACGTCATCACTTCAGCAATCTATTAGAAGAATAAGACACTTTAGGGTTGTTGCTTGCTACCAATCAAATAAAATCGGTATCAAGAAAATCCATCTTTCCACTGCGGAGGAAACACAGAAGCTGCATTTGAAGAGGCATTTATTATTTAACAGTCATTTTACAGAAGCTCAGAGGTAGCATGAACGCATTTACACTGCTAACTTACAGCTGCATAAATAAAGTTATGAGATATAGTTTTATTTCATAATGTTTTAAATAATATATTTGGGTGGTGATGGTGCAGTGAATAAGACGCATGCCTTTGGTGTGAGAGACCCAGGTTTGAATCCACTGTGAGACACCAATGTGTCCCTGAGCAAGACGCTTAACCCCTAGTTGCTCCAGAGGCGTGCGACCTCTGACATATATAGCAATTGTAAGTCGCTTTGGATAAAAGCGTTAGCCTGGTAATACCAGACTTTGCTACTTCATTTTGCAAAATGAAATTAGCGGAACTAGGAAGTCTGACGTAGTCAGGCTATAAAAGCGTCAGCTAAATGAATAAATGTAAATATATTTGAATAAACAAATATCAAATGTTGGAAAAAAATGCAATGATATTTTGAATTTTAAATGGCGGCATATGACTGTCTCAATGAATGAGTCATTAAGGGCTTCGAGCTTGTGATTGGGCCCGAACCTCCCCCGTATCTGGTTATAAATATATTTATCGTGTCTGCGTGAAAGCGCCCTCTGGTAATCAAATGGAGCAGCATTTACCGGTCAGGCGCACTGCACTGAAAAGCTGCGCATAAAATATCACAGCCTTTCAGTGGTGGAGGAAGTACTGAATCTCAGTACTTAAGTAAAAGTACAAATAACCAGATAAATATTTACTTTAGTAAAAGTAGAAGTAACACAATGACAACCATACTTAAGTAAAAAGTACCTGATTTTAAATGTACTTTAAGTATTAAAAGTAAAAGTACTTGCATAACAATTTATTCTCTTAATGTCTATTTTCTAATTATTAATAAAACATTCAATTCTAACTCATTCCACCTAATACTCCTATAATGATGTTCAATAATTATGGAAAAAAATGTCACCATTTCTGAAACAAGCTTGCAATTAGGCAATATACACATCATGCTTATCCTTACTGTATGTTAATAACTATGTTTGGCAGTAAACGCGATTAATATATGGTGTAATTCTGAACCTCTTGGCTTGCCATAATCCTAACCAAACGTATATTACACACAGTGTGTTTCCTATGGACTTAAAAAAACAAATTTTCGCGTATAAATTGCACGATAAACACACTGCATGTGAGACGCATTTAGTGTGACCGGGTTGATGTATCTATGGCAACCAAACGTCACTGGTGAGACAAACATGCACCGGACGGACGGTCAGATTATATTTTGGCAGGGGAAAAACTGATCAGAAAATGTAACAGAAGTTGTAGAAATGTCGTGGAGTACAAAGTAGAATAATTGCTGCAAAATGTAACAAAGTAAAAGTAAAAAGTATGCATTATTTATTTTACTTAAGTAAAGTAAAGATACGTGAAAAATGTACTTAAGTAAAGTAACAAAGTATTTGTACTTCGTTACATTTCACCACTGCAGCCTTTGCCAAATCATGTGCGGTTTTATTGCGATCAGTCATGCAGCCCTACTTGCAATCATGACGGAAAACACCACTCTTGGTCATGTGATGTTGCTTAACTATATCATGCTATAAATGTACGTGTTATGTACAGATATGTGTTTCAATAAGCTTCTGAGTTTCCTTGTGTGTGTTGTTGCACATATGTTTTCTTATTTATCCACGAGAGTCTCTCTTACACACAGGCTGGGCGAGCCTCAACTCAATCAACACAATCAATCGCCGTTTACACTGAATGTAATAAAATCAGTCATTTTCAGCAGGAAAATTTGTGATGACTGAATGTTCGATGATTTCGAACTTTACTTCAACAAATCCAGTTGTCCTGGACAAGCATTAATGTCAAACCCTAATTATGCATCTTACTCTATTTATGTCATGAAGATGAAGTAATCAGAGCTAGAAATAAATAATACATTTGATATAATTTTATCTAAATAATAATTTATATAATTTTATCTAAATAATATTGTATAAGTCTGCCTCATTAAACTACCCGGAAATTGTTGTTAATGTCCAAAGGAAGTAAGTTAACACTGTCTGACTCATCTTTTCTTTTCCATCTCCCTTGTTGATGTCTTTCAGAAGCCATCTTCATGAATAATTTGTAATTGTGTCGAGCTGGATCGGGGGCTCCACTCCCGCTTAGGCTGCTAGCGGAGGTTAACAGTCCCACTTGCAATAATAGTGTGTCTGTTGAGTTGCTCTGAATGAATGAAGTTCAAGGAATGATCTAGAAACAAGATGAGACATGTATGCTGGTGTATTTGTACAACTGTTCATATATCTGGGGTAGCAAGTCTCGGAATTGGTTCTGGTTTGTCTCTAAAAGTCTTGTCTTAAGTATGGCATCCATAAGCTCAGTAACATCAAATAAAGCATTGTTATTCCCTGCGCAAATCACCAATTAGCCATACACACAAACACACACACTTTTGTGTCAAGCATTCACATTTATAAGACTTTTTTCCAAAGTGACATAAATACTACAGCAGAAGTGATTCATCCTGGTGAGTCAGTAACATTAGACGTGCCAGAACAAATTGTTCCAGAATTGCTGAGAAAATATAAGCGAGTACATAAAGAGTGAGACTGTGATACAATAATGAGAGAACAGTATTTTTTTTAACAGTTGTCCTTGGGTGTTTTTAGGAAGAGAGAGACTAGCCTCTATTAGGGCTGTCGCGGTTATGGAATTTCCCTTGCGGTAATATTGAGTGGCTCAATAGCGCGATATGCGGTATTACTGCCATTTATTTATTTAATTTATATGTTTTTGTTGCTATATAAATAAAGTTTACGATGTGGACAAAAACGAGGACATTTTCAGTAAGCATTGTTACCGAAACTAAACAGCGTCTAGCATATGCGCATTGAAAAACTTTCACTCAGCGCGCATATTGTTATGACAACGGACTTTGAGCGAGTCATTGAACCGTTCATTCAACGAACACGTTTAAAAAAGCTGATTCATTAAAAGAGATGTAAAGAAACAATATGTTAATTATTTCTAACATTGATGTTCAACTTTTCAAGGCTCAGCTGAGCAGCAATGCGTCGCATGGGCAACGCTGAAGCTGATGCTTCACTTATTAGAGACCCATTGATTCAATGCGTGACTCACTGATTTTATTTCGGCTTCCTTGTGCTGTGGGATGTTGAACAGCGCTGCTGCTGACGCGCATTTATGGGAAAATACACGTGAAGAGAACGTTAAAATGATGATGCAACAAATATTTCGCTTCCCTTTGATACGACAAGCTTTTCACGACTTCAAAGACAGAGGCAGGTAATCGCACGCGCTCTGCCGATCTCTCTCATTCACTATCTGTGTGTGAAGCCTGTAGGCTACACATCACCATGATAAACAGTCTTGTTATCATCATGAACTGGTTTAACATTCAATACACATGCATTACGTTCAAAACAAGAAGGGTATAGCCTTATAAAAAAAAAAAAAAACGTGAATATCGCGGTTGCTGCGGTTACGTGCAATCCTCTGCGGTTGTCTTGTCAGAAGCGCGGTACAATATTGCGGTTACCGCGACAGCCCTAGGCTAGCCTCTATTTATTAAATAAGTACTCAAACTAAACATAAAGCTCATTATTTAATAAGATCTATAATATTCCAAATGCTAAAGACATGAAAACCACTACGTCTCATTCATTAATAATCGAGTGGATTATTTAGTAGTTGTAAGCACGGGAGAATTTATCTCGAAAATGTTAGCAAACCAGTTCAAACCCAACAAAAACCTTTTATACAGACCTCTCATCAGCCAGCTGAACATATGTGTATCTGCATTGTTAAAGTCCCCATGAAATCAAAATTGACCATACTTACTTTGTTTGCCTAAATTGATCGTTTTGTGGTGAACAATTCATACATGCAAGTCAATCCACACAAAAAAAAATTTTGGCTTCGTAATCTTTAATCTCCCCTCTGCATTGGAGGACTTTGCCTGATGACGTAGGCTTTATGGTTTGGGTGTCTCCTTAACATCCATAACCACGCCCCTCCAACTGACAGCGGCTGTGTGTTTGCGAGCGCCGAGCGAGCATTGATTGACAGCGTGTGTAAACTTGCATCATCCTCCATTTCAGAATGAAACACCCATTTTTCTAGATCCAATCAGGTGCTAGTTGGAAAAAAAGCCACGCCCACTATTTTGCCTTATTTAGTATTCTGTTTCTCTAGGAAATACGTCACAACACTGGAGAAAAGTCGTTTGCAACTTCCGGTTCACAGGGACTTTAAACCTTGCAGTTCGAGCTGTAACGCAGCATACTTGACATATGATGAAATATCTATGTATGAAATATCCAATTTTATTTATAAGGCCACCCGGAGTATGTTGCTCCACTTCCAACACTTCTAAAAAAAAATCGAAATAAATATGAGTCCGAATTTGGTGAAACGTGAATTGTTTTAGTACTGAATCAAACCCGTTTTATGAAAAAATAATATCTTTCCGTTTGTGTCTTACTGGAAAACCTGCATATGGGTTTGGAACAATGACATGAGAGTGATAATGTCAATCTCCTCACCTTAGTGCAGTTGGCCGCTTTGGGTTCCAGGTCATTGAGAGTGACCAGCTCTCTGAGCAGACTGCTCTCCTGGTAGCCTCCCTTCACCCCTCGTAACTTGAAGTAGGCCTGAGGCTTAAACAGAATGAGCCGCAGGTTGATGGCAAACCCTGCCATATCGATGGCAAAGGGCCGATGAGGGTCGAATACTGTTTTCCAGCCGTACACTTTCCCCGCTGCATTAACCTTTGGAGACTCGTACCGTAAACCTCCAACAAACGCTACAGGCCACACTGATACTTTACGAGTTGATCGCATCTGCAGAAAAGAGAGAGATTATAGATCAGTTCTTTTTGTTCGGTTACTGTTCTTTAGGGTACAAAACCCTTTGATTTTATATATATATACAGTATATAAAATATGTATGTATACATGTATGTTTGATATCAAGTGTTGATATATATATATATATATATATATATATATAAATAATTCTGCCAAGACATTTTTAATAAGAGCTTAATAATTAATAAACACCGGCAGGTATGGTTGTTTTAAACAAGGCCAAATGCATAATTCATGAACTGTTGCCTTGGGCCCTATTTTAACGATCTGAAACAAGTATCAAGCGCGAAGCGCAAGTAACTTTGTGGGCGGGTCTTGGGTACTGTTGCTATTTTACCGGCGGGATAAATGACTTTTGCGCCCGACGCAAGTTTAAAAGGGGTTGGTCTGAAATAGTTTCATTATTCATAGGTGTGGTTTGGGCGTAACGGGAAACAAACCAATCGGAGCGCCATCCCTTTAAGAACAGGTCGAAGTGACGTTGTATGGGGATGGGAAAAACCCACCCAAATCAGCGTCGGTTAAACATTATATACGGATGTTTCTTGCCACTATTGGGCAAACAGGTCTGATCCTTTAGTACTACAATAAGCCTTAAAAAAATTGGGTAATTCGGTTTTTTCATCTTTATGGAAACCACAATGATTTCCCTCGTGTTAATATTTTTCCTTGTTATAATGTATGATTTGCAAAAATAAAAACTGCTGCATCTGTGTTGATGAGAGAATCAAAGTGTATGCGTGTTGTGCACCCGCTACATTATGGCCAAGCATGCGCGCTTAAAATAGCATTATGAGCAACACGCTACTGACTTTAGACCAGTTTTTTTCTGGTCAGTGGCGCAGTTGTTTTCTGGAAGTGTAAAATGGCACTAGGGAATGTTTGCGCCGAAGCACGCCTCCTTTTTGCGCCGATCCGCCCAGGGAGCGAAAGTTCATTTCCTAGTTTACCGATGTGCGTCTTTGGAGGATAAAAGCCTGTTTTGTGCAGGTGCAAAATAGGAATGATACATGCGTCAGTGTATAAAGTCGGGTGCAAAATAGAGCCCCTTATCTTCAAATGCTAAATTATAAAATTTTGATAGAGATTCTCATTAGCTACATATGCTACTGCTCAAAAGTTCTCATAACAAAATTTTATATATATATATATATATGAAGAGTTCAGATGCAAAAGCCTCTAAATGCCATTTGAAATTTTCTTCTTTAATGGTGATTTTTATCAAACTTGTATATTTAAGTTCAGTAATTTCAGTTAAATAACAATTAATAGGTAATTATCATTGTCATTTAAGTGAAATCACTGAACTTAAATATACAAGTTTGATAAAAATGATCATTCTAGAAGAAAATTTCAAATGGCACTTAGAGGCTTTTGCATCCGAACTCTTCATATATATATATATATACACACACACACACACACACACACACACACAGTCTCTTTATATATTTCTGGATCCAAATTTTTTAAAGGTAGTGTAAATCTGTAACTTTGTTTTCAAATTAATTTCCTAAAATGTAATTATTTTCTTATTGTGTGCAAGAATGGACCCGGAAAATCACACTGTTTTCAGGGACATATGAACAGGTATTTAGGAAAGTTTTATTCTGTTTTGTTTTTTGAACTCAAATAAAGTACCCCGGGGCATTTTCATCCCTGTTTTACAAAACATGCCACAAAACATTCATCACATCCATGGCAGTTCAGCTGCTGTTTACAGTGTGCTTTCTCTAAGTAACTGCAGATTGTGTTTTGGACAGTGCGGTAATTCACATACAAACAAATAGATCATAACGGCTGGATTCATCCTGAGCAGGTCACAAAGATCGGAGCCGAGACACTGAGAGACCAAGAAAGAAAGAGAAAGAGGGACAGAGCTGCCTTTAATCTTTCTGCTTCAAACGTCCAAATGCTTTGTGTGCCACCCAGCGCAAGTGGTCCACATCATAAAAGGAAACTGCCTAATGAATAGTGAAGGCTAGAGGAGCAGTTGTCTTTATACCCATAATGCATCTTCCACTGTCTCCAAGGGGAGCTTTTACAAAGAACTACAAAAGGACTAGATTAAAAGGCATTCTGTCTCTTTCTAATTTATGAAAACCACTCGCTGTCATGTCGGTAAAATGAAAATATAAATTAAGACTAAGCTAAATTTGCTGACTGAACTGGTAAAGGCTGTCCACATTGATCCAAATGTAGCTCACGTAATTGACTGTGACCCTTCCTCAACATATCAGGCATTAAGTGAACAGTCCTGGACAAAATGTCACCCTCAAACTGATTACTTCCTGAGCCACTAATAATATATTGCAATTTGCGCCACTGCCATTTTTCATTAAAGAAAGAGATGGACCATTTCTGTACCTGTTGGCGGAAACAAAAACAATTGGAATCGGTAAACTGTTGAAAAGGATGCATGCTCGTTGCAGATCCGGCATTAATCTTTTCTAAACTAGCTGTCATTGGGGAGTGCCCTAGTTTCACATTATGAATGGCTGTTTTCTGCTTTTTGCCTCACATTTAAAGCGCTTCACACTGATTTCTGAACTGAGGGAAAGGAGAGAATCAATAGATGGCAAAAGTTTCAGAATTGTTGAATCTGACATTTACGCAGTTTCCTATTTTCACTTTCAGCAAGCAATTTATTATATTTAATTATTATTATAATATTTTTGTATGCTTACATAAACACAGGTGTTCTCATATTGGGTCAGAATGGGGCACAATACAATCTGTGGAACCCAATTTTGGGTCAAATATGGACAAACTCAAACATTTGGGTTAAAAATGTAACCCAATGTCCATTTTTGACCAAAAATTGGGTTAAACCTTCTTAAACTGTCTATGGGTTAAACAACCATTTTTTTAGAGTGTATGGAGGTATTACAGAACATCACAGAAGTATTATACACTACTATAGATGAGGCACAGTCTCCTATAATGTGACATTTTCCTGTGTTTTGCGCATTTTTTAGTGTATGTTTCATTTTATTTTTGTACAGCGTAGACTTTCATCTATTCCACTTTTTTGGGAGACCTAGATGTACATGCAGATGACTCATCATTATTCAGAATAGGACATGCTGTAATGATTCTGTCAAGTCAAAGTAGTCACAGACACAGAGGAGAGGGAAAGTGGCCTGTGTCCCTTGAGCTCAGAGCACTTACAGAAGAGTCAATAGTGGAAAAGAAAGCCAGGAGATTGGGGGTAAAAATACACAGCCTCTGTAAATAAAACCATTCGTTCGGAGTGCCTGCCTAGGCATTTTTAATAAGAGCTTAATAATTAATAAACACCGGCAGGCATGGTTGTTTTAAACAAGGCCAAATGCATAATTCATGAACCGTTACTATATCTTCATTTCAAAAGGTAAAAGGTATTACTGGCTCTTCTGTGTGATGTTTTTCTCATTGTAGGTCACTGATTTTAGACCACACACACACAACTACGGCTCTTTTAAGTTAGATAGGAAAAGCCCAGAATGGAGCTGAAACTAGTTTATCTTTGGAATATTGCTATTTAAATACATTATAAGCTTTAAGATTTAATATTTAGAACAAGGATTTTTCACCAGAGTCCACAGACCATAGGGGATCTGTGGCGGTACTGCAGGGAGTCTGATCTCAAACTAATTTGTTTAAAAATTAAAATGTGCATCAAACAAAGATACAATATTAAGTTAGCTTGAATGAAAGCTGGAGTTAAGAAGCTAGATTTTCATAGTCTCTCCCACATTAAAATGTATAATAAAATTAGAATGTAATTATGTGGCTCTATAGATTAGCATTGATTAATGTAAGCATCATAATAAATCATATTATGTATTGATATGGTACTATAGGTGTATTATTAAAGGCCAGACCTAATTTAAAATGTTATGCATGTTATTGAAAGTATGTAAAGCATAAATATTCATCTTTTAAAATGTGCAACCCACATATATCAACAAAAATGGCAGCTTTTGTTCAACCCTAATTATAGTCTTGTGTCTTTAGTTGCCAGCGTTTCAGAAGTATGTGCCTGATCATTTTTCACCACCCACCATCAATGATTTTTCTTTTCAGAGCAGCGTCTCAAAATTGAAAGTGTTTCATGTGATGAAGGAAGTCCTGACAGGAATTTACCAACTTGTAGCATTGCAAGACCCGAGTAAGTGTTATACCTGAATGTGAAAATCCTGTCATCATTTACAAACCATGACTTTCTTCATGTTGTAAAAAACCTGTATGACTTTCTAAACGTGTTTTCCAAACCTTTAAGACTTTCTTTGTTCTGTTGAACATAAAGTAGTTATTTAGAAGAATGTTTAGCTGTTTTTGTCCATATGATGAAATTCAGTGCATTGATCGATGTTTTGATTTAATGAAATATCTGTTCATCATACAGTCTGTTGCTTCGGAAGACTTGGATGACGGTTGAGTCATATGGATTATTTTAATGCTCTAATGTTCTTTATTGGAGCCTAAGGCCATGTCCACACTAATATGTTTTCATTTGGAAACGTTCAGGGCCACCTAGCTTTTGGAAAATGCTCTCCAAAGTGGATAAATTTGAAAACGCCGTTTTCGCGTTGTAGTGTGGACTGTGAAGCCGGAGGTATTTGAAAACGATGACACAAGTTTAGTCATGTGATCCATGTTATACCAATAGATATTCATGTTTACCGGTATTGTGCCTGTTATCTGCTATTCACTTTTACACTGATGCTAAAACGTTACTTTGTACACTCTTCGGGCCAATCCCAATTCTACCCCTTACCCCTTCACTTTCCCCTAGCCCTACCCCTTCGCCTTCCCCTTGACCCTTGAAACAGAGTGGCAATGCGTAGGGGTGAAAATATTCCCCTAAGAATTAAATGGGACACCACTACGCCTCCGTTAAACGTCATTATAAGTCGTCGCTAGCGCCTACGTCACAGGAGATGCGCCGATGTTTATCACAACTTCCAAGATGCCGTCGACAGCTGCAGTTATCTCAGTCGCGTGGGTTACAGCTATTTTCTTGCATTTATCTTGTGAAGTTCGCAGGAAACAACGGAGACGACGAAAATATGTTGCAGGACTATCGTTAGCAAACTACAGTAATTTTAGCGATTTTTTTTTTTACAAACGTTTCTGTGAATAAACTGACCGTAAATATGAACACAATCTTGAATGTAACATAAAGCAAATCATTATTTGTCGTTACAATACTTATTAAAGCCACAAATACTTAAATTTATGGGTCTCCTTTGTCGCTTGGGCAGCCAGCCTGGGTTAGCAGTGACACTTCTCATACCCAGGGGCGCAACTACCCAGTTTCAGAGGGGTATGCAGCAACAATTTTAGCGCCCCCCCCAAAAAAAGGAAAAATAAATGTAATATAAGTGTGCTGTGTAATAAGTAAGTAGGAACAAATGAGTGCTAACAGATCAAATAAGTGCAAAATTGTCATTTATTAATACAAATAAACTATAGCTACTCCACCTTGATGAACCCCCCTAAGAAAACTATAAGCTCCATTGGAACAGCAATACAAGTGTTTCTCACAGGATTTTAGGTAAAACTGTGGTAGGTCGACCTCTATTTCTGTAGGGGGGTTCGGGGGCATGCTCCCCCGTAAGAAAAATGTTGTGTTCTGTAATGTTAAATTCAGCAGTCTGGTGCACTTTGAGAGTTCAAAATTAAAAGCTCCAACCCATATTCAGGGTGCAAATTAAACAGAGAAAAATTTGAACCTCTTTTAGTTAGTGTCTGTCTACATTACACTACTAATAATAGTTATAATATTAATCCCATAGTAATAGCCATAAAGGCTATTGTAAAACAAATGCACTGAAAAATAAAGGAAACTTTCATAATTAGTTTTGCACTAATTTCTATACTTGAAAGATATACGCGCATAATGACATGTTTCATGGGCCAGTACCCCTTCGTTTGAAGTGTGCTCCCGAAAAATGTTCGTTTGAAGGGCTATCTGGCCCTTCCCCCTAGCCCTCCCCCTCCAACCAAAAGAGAATTGGGACAACCCTACCCCTTCACGTGGACGCGCAAAACGGAGGGGAAGGGGAAAGTGAAGGGGTAGGGGGTAGAATTGGGATTGGCCCTTCATATCACAGTCCTGCACAGATGACAGAAAATGTACTCACATTTGCTTTCCTGTGCTTTTTAGACCAAACATATGGTGACTGAGTGCGACCTGGACGCATCAGTGATGGTGAGATATTTTGCTAAATAAAATTATCCTGTTAGAAGAATTGGGCAATAAATTTATTATTTATTTTTCAATCTGTATCATCTCGGTGTGCGTTTGTGAGGTTTCACGCATGCGCAGTAAGGTGACGCCTGAAAACGCTAGTGTGGACGTAGAGCGTTTTTAAATTAAAAAGTTTGTGGACATAGCCCATTGACATTCATCATAATGACAATAGTAGCTGAAACATTCTTTAAAATGCCTTCTTTTAATTGTTTTCACAGAAAACCATAAAGGTGAGTAAATTAAATAATTTTCATTTTTTGGGTGAACTATTAGGAATTAGAGAAGCCCCTATTATGCTTTTTCAATGCTACACTCTAAAAAATGCTGGGTTGTTTTAACCCAACTTTGGGTCAAATATGGACTAACCCAGCCGTTGGGTTAAATTTTTACATTACATTTTTAACCCAACATTTCGGGTTTGTCCATATTTGACCCAAAATTGGGTTAAAACAACCCAGCATTTTTTAGAGTGTATGTATAATAAATCCATTTGGGGATGTAACACCCTGTAAAGTTTTAAAGATCAAAGTGCATGACAAATAAAGTTTAAAGATCAAAGTGCATGACAAATAAAGTTATTTTTTCCTAAAAGAAAGAATCAGTTCTGATGCCGAAACAAATTCCAGTCTCACTTCCTGATACGTTAAAAATTTAACAAATTTGCATAGCAGCAACCTATGGTCTACATTGGCTGCCCGCAAACAACTTCTACTTTGAGCCTCGACACTGTTAATTATGTAAATGATGTTAACAATGTAAATTAGGAACCTTTAGAATAGCAAAATGGGGCACTTTAAATGAATGAATATTCGCTTAATTTGAGGATAATTTTCAATGTGTAATTTATGGGAATGTAGTATGCCTAGTCAAATGATCAAGCACTTGAAGCACTCAAACAAAGCTATTATTTAATCAATGCGAGTGCAGTCACTTAATTGATGTGACAATACACAATGTATGTATCCTCACTTTTACACCCGTCTTGAGTAGGGTTGGGTATCGAGAATCGAGTATCGATTGGAACCGGGACTAACTTTTCGTTTTTCCCGGAATCGTTCAAAAGTTAAAATTTCGATTCCTAGTTTCGATATTCACAGTCCGCCGAGCGGAAGAAGAAACCGCTGAACAACACCAACGAAGAAGCGTCTACCGGAAGTGTTGGCATAACCGCGCGAGTCGAACATGAGTAGCTTACGTCGGCGGTCCAAAGTGTGGCTTCACTTTTCTAAAAATTAACGAAATCTCGGCAAAATGCAAAATTTGTGACAAGTATTTGTGACAGAAGAAGTATTTCCTTCAGAAAGACCGTTGGTTAGCAAGGTTAGCTAAACTTTTTTGACCCTGCCTCTTAAAAGAATCGAAATCGAGAATCGTTAGGAACCGGAATCGAAACAAGGAATCGGAATCGGAATCAGAATCGTTCAAATTCAAACGATACCCAACCCTAGTCTTGAGTTAACTCACCTCCTCAAACAGCTCTAAACTGTACGTATTATCATCATCTGCAAAGTAGACGATCCCCGCCTGGCTGCTGTTGGAGTTGAAAGTCTCCCGTAGCCATCTCAGGGCCAGGTTCCTCTGCATGGTGCCCCGTGGAATCCTGGGATCTCTCGTGTCCCCTCGCAGCTTGTAGTTCCTCGGGGTCTCCACATTGAGGTGTGTGTAGTTTAGCCCTGTTTCCCTCAGAAGCCTCGTGACCAGAGGGGTTCTCCTCTGCGAGTCCTCCACCAGGATCCAGTGCAGGTTGGGCACATGAAGGAAGGTGTTAGCCAATCGCGTTAGCTCCGCCTTCTGCACCGGGCGGCTGTATGTCGGGGTAATGACGTGGATGGTGGGCAATACGTCGGACCAGGGCGGAGGTCTTGTGTACACGTATTCTGTGCGGACCACCTCCACTATGTCCTTGTCCTGTGAGCAGTATTCCTTTGAGTCCGTGGCGGGGCCGTTCTCGTGCCTTGCCTCCGTCCCGTCATCTGCCAGACAGAGACAGAGAATTAAGACATTAGCGCACTCCAGGCTGCTCTCTTTATGTCTGACGCATGCCTCAAACCTTAGAGGAGTACCTGCTAGCCGTTGCCGGTGGATGGGAAGTCGCTCTGGTATGATTAAGATCTCTTTTACTAGATGGCGACAGACTGGAGAGGGTGAGAGCAGGAACCATAATACAGGAGATCATAATAACGTTACTCTATAGTGGTAGATGGTACTGGTTCAAACCCATAAAGCACAGGTTCTGTATGATTTGCTCTTGGATTCTTTACAGGATAGTTCAGACAAAAGTTAAACTCTTTTTCATTTTCGTGAAGCGCAATAGGAGAAATTTTGGAAAATATCTTATAAAATTATCAGTATAAAAGCACATTAATATAAATGCATGTTAATGCTAATAAAAAAACACAGTAATGTCAATATGACTCGCTTTATTCATGACTATAGACCTTATTCAGAGCAGCGCCATGACCGGTATGAAAGTGAGGCTGTGAGGGATAGACTTACCGTGTTTCCAATGGCATCCGCTGTAAAATGCTGAATAAAGCTCCTAGATTACTTACAATTTTCCACAGCTTACATTGTCGGGAGTTTTTTGTCAACTGTAATTTCTTGGAAAGATATTTTTCCAGTGTTTCATGAGCAGAACAATCCGAAAACACATTAAATAACAGTTCAGCCCATTGAAGAGATGCAAGTCTATCCCTCACAGCCTCGCTTTCATTCTCATTAAAAATCAAAGATGGGGCTGCCGTGAATAAGGCGTATTAGGCTTCTAAGCTGTAGTAGCGCTTCTTTAGGCACCAGGTCATGAATGTTTGTGGGATTTGAGTGTTACGGTGGATCAAATTTGGTGTTTCTCATATAAAGGGATTGTTTGGCCTTAAAAGATTGGGAATGCAACCTGGGTGGTTTAAAATATGTATAATCACGTTGTGGTGAGCAGGACGGCCGAGGGACGTGAGAGAAAGTCGCGAGGCCGGTGGTGCGATTGCTAATGAGCAGCACCTGCGAGGCACACCGGTCTCGCATCTCTCACGAAGGAGCGGAGCCATAAAGGGGGAGCGACGGAGTGGATGATGGAGAGAGGAACAGGCCTGCTTTTATTTTTTTTTTTATATTTTATTTTGGGTAGCCAGCATTCGTCCGCGAGGGGCTGCTGGCAGGTAATTTGTTTGTTTATTTTATTTAAATAAAGTTTTATTTTATTATTATTATCCGGTTCCTGCCTCCTTCTTCCCTGAACTTTGTTACATTGGTGCCGAAACCCGGGAAGAGGGAGGAACGCGCTGTCCGAGGGTCCTCGCCGCTGTGGGGAATCCGCGGTGCCATCGAGCATGGTGCGCGAGTCGCCGCCGCTCGCCGTGGGCCGGAGCCTGCTGCCGTCCGCCGCATAAGGGGAGGAGCAGGGAGCGGGGGACTCGCGACCATCGACTCTCGAGGCGGGGGCGCTGGGATGAGTTGCCGGTGGGACGCCCGAGCTCGCCGCCGACCGCCTGGAAAATGGAGGGGCGGCTGCCGTTCGGGAGGGAGAGGAGGAGTCACCGCCGCTTGCCGTGGGCCGGAGCCTGCTGCCATCCGCCAGTGAAGGGGAGGAGCAGGGAGCGGGGGACTCCTGCCGTCTGCCCAAGGCACCCGAGGAGCCGTCGCCGTCCACCGGGGGCGGGGGAGCGTCGAGGCATTCACCGAGGGCCATCCAGCGTCGCCGCCGGGCACCGCGGAGGAGATCGCCCAGCTGGTGAGGGACAAGATGGCAGCGCGTGTTGTGGGAGCCGGACTATTATTATTATTTTTTTTTTTTATAATCAAAAATAAAACTTTATTTAAACAAAATAAACAAACAAATTACCTGCCAGCAGCCCCTCGCGGACGACTGCTGGCTACCCAAAATAAAACATAAATACCGGCCAGCAGCCCCTCACGGACGACTGCTGGCTTACCAAATAAAATATAAAATACAAATAAAAGCAGGCCTGTTCCTCTCTCGATCATCCACTCCGTCGCTCCCCCTTTATGGCTCCGCTCCTTCGTGAGAGATGCGAGACCGGTGTGCCTCGCAGGTGCTGCTCATTAGCAATCGCACTACCGGCCTCGCGACTTTCTCTCACGTCCCTCGGCCGTCCTGCTCACCACACACGTATTTTAAATTAGTGTAAAAGGGGGAGATCAACTATAATGATGCTTATTAATATTCTTGAATTCTTCTAAAAAAATGACTGTAATCAGCAGTAAAAATTGTTTAACCCTAAAACCATATTCTGGACAAATGTGGGCAAAATAGTTTTGATTTATTTTTAAAAAATACTTCCCTTGCTCTGAGCGGTGCAAGACATGGCTAATTTTTCTAAGTTTGCCTCCTGAACACACACATTTTTTTGACTCAATTCTACAATGTTAAGTGGGTGAAAAAAACTCCTTAATCTTGTATTTGGGTCAAAAATAATAATGGGCACCCATAGAAATGAAAGGGAAAAACTGTAATTTAGAGCATTCTAAAATAAGACACCAGGTGACAGCAAAGTCACTTCATCTTTAGGTTTTAGCTCTAAGAATGATATTTTAATGTAGTTAACATTTGTATCTTGTCTTGCCTACAGTGTCAATTGCATAGCTTTTCTCATCCTCTACCGTGGCCTCATGGTATAGTAAAGTGTCCATTTAATGTGCACTTCTGAATCTCTAGTGGGTCATCTGGGTATTTTTCGCCTACTGTTTAATGAAAACAATAAATTAGGATATTAACATGTACCGTTTTTCAAAGTATTAAAATTGGCATTTTTGAATGCAAGGTTTGAATTGTTGGTTCATATGCTTTTAATTGGGGTCAGAGCTGAATGACCTTTGCGTCAGTCTATTAATATCAATTTAGTAATTTCAGAGCTTTTTAGGACATAGTGGTTCATTCTTAAAAAAAAAATCTCTTTTTTTTTTTGTTCCAGGAAAGAATGAATTATCAGTTTTGGCTGAACTATTCTGTTTAATGATGTTGCTAAAATTATTACAGGGTTACCAAATATCTTCTATAATATTTTCAAAAAATGATGGTGTGGGCAGTTCCAGCACAATCCCGCTGATAGCTCATTAAGGGCAGGAATGATGGTGGCACCTCACATATCAGATCTTTATCACTGTTCAATTAGTGGCCTGCTCTCACTTCAGACATTTTAGCACCAGTAGATTAGCGCACTCCATTAACAGTCCAGATGTTCACTGCCTCCTAGGCATCATACAAACCCACGTTAATTGCTTCATGATAAGTCCTATGAATTCACATCTGTAAATCTCCATAAGCTTATGCTATTGACATGCATATATATATATATAGATGAATAAATCTTCGTGTCCAACGGTTTTCCCTGTAGGTTGAGCGACTAGTTGTTTGTTGTGAAGCCATTAGATTGGCCCAAATGCCTCATAAATAACAGGCTGTGTACAGCTGGTGTATGTGAATCATCTACTTAAATAAGTGTTTTAATGTGGGTGCTAAAATAAATTGTAGACGTGCAAACTGGCAATTTTGACCTATAGCCATCAGAAATGCTCTTCCGAGAGAGGTTTTATTGGTGAAATCTTCTGCAGTTGAATAAATGAGAAGCTGCTGGGTAATTTCAGTGGACTTTTAATGTGAGCCTCATGAACCTCAACTAATGCGTTAGAAAGTGGGATTTGTTTTTATCCACATGCATAATGTTTTTTTTTTTTTTTTTTTATATATATATATTAGTTCAAATGAAATAGCACACAGCTGAAAGACAAAGTCCACTCATTCAACTCACAGATTTGTGGTTGGTTAGAGAGAAAACTAATTTGCATTGAAGTAGCAGGAAAATAAAATATTGTTTGGCACTTAATTTGCAGTGAGAATAATAATAATAATATGCAAATTTATTTTCAAGCATGACCATATTCTAGTGAGCACAAATAAAGCGACTCGCTGAGTTCATCAGAGAGTCTATTAGGCTTTGTGGAGAAATTTGTCCCATTTTGACTGATAACAAAATTAGCACTATCATTATATGTAAGAGAGGTTGGTACCCTTTCGGATGGCAAGCAGGGGGGCAATTGCATTTTGGTGCCACACAGTGATGAGGAGGGTCCATGGTAACACAATTAACACGATGGCAAGAATATCTCTTCTCTTCGGCATCTCCAGGGTTGGTTCTATGCCTGGTCATTACCTAAGACATGGAAATAAAGCGAGAGAGAGAGAGAGTAAATCTCATAAGTGTCAAGGAATTAATGTACTATTTGATCAAAATAACTATCATTCACTTTTTATTAGATTTCAGCACCATGTGGTCAAGTAAAACGTCAATCTACAATACTGTCTCAGATCCCTGTAAAAAAAAAATTTCTCAAAATATAACTTTACTGAACATTCAAGGCAAGGCATAAGCATCAGAGATAAGTTGTTCAAAGCCTTAACATTAAAACAAATTGTAGCTGAAAAGATTGTGTATGATACCAGTATTATAATTTATACACATGAAAGGAATATTACATTTTTTGCTGATGACTTGCAGTTTTATGTATCAGTAGAGCCAAATGACAGTATTTAATGCATGCACTACCCTGGTTTGACAAATACAGATGAACTACCAAGTGGCACAAACACTTACACAATTAGAGTACAATATCGACGAGGAGAAACCACATTGCACCTAGCTGATCTGAACTGTATAGGATTGATTTTAAGCTTCTTTTACTGTATTGGATTTAGAGCACTGAATGATTTAATACCTTCATACATTTCTGACTTTTTTTTTTTTTTTTTTAAATAAGCAAATGAATAACCATAAAGCAGAGATCAGGAAACCCTGCTGTTAGTTATGTCTGGAAAATTTGGGACTGTGTATTTGAACATTTTATACCAATATAATACTTAGCACAGACATATCAAAACACAATGGCTGCAGACAATTTCTTGTTTGAAGAAGATAATTAAATGAATAAACAATTTTTTTTAAGTAAGTTGAATTTAGTAAGTAACGGAACATATTTTTTGTATATATAACGTTACTGTATTTTATAGGGTATATTCAACGTAAACATTTGAGTGATAGCAACACGTTTTAGATTTATGTCTGATGATAATAACTCAGCCTCTTTGAGTTTATGAATCATTTTCATTTTCAGGTTTATTAGCTACTTTCATTCGCAATAGGCTGACATTACCTCTTTAATGTTGACAAATATCCTGCAAACGACTCTTACTGTACGAATTACACAGTACATTGCGTAAATTAAATATTTTGAATTCAAAACGACAAAAAATTGAGTAATTTACTTGTTAAATGTTTTAGGACAAACGTTTAGCTAGAATACCTAAGTAGTTTAACTTAACCGTTATAACTGAAGCAAAGCATCGAATCGCGACTCGCTCGCACAAGAATTCCCGCTCTTATTTGTTTAAACTTTAAAGCCCGCCTTCTCTGACTTGATTGGCCAATGGCCCTCTCAATCATTTTGACCAAATCCTCTTCTCAAAACATGGCTCTGCCTCTGCTCAACTGCCGCTCACCTCTCCGTCAACCACAAAAGACTAAATAGAAAATATCCAATTAGACAGTCAACAATCAGCTGTCATCGTTTCATCGACTGCATGAGTCAAAACATACACGTTTTGATTGATTGACGGTTGTCATCAAGGTAAGATGATTTACATACAAAGTAACGTTACACTAAGCAAACATGCGTCCTTTGATTGATGGCAAACAATTTTTAATTGTTTATTTCAAAGTAACGTTAAGTTATATGCACACAGTACGCAACGCAAAACTTGCGTCGTCACGTTTTGAACATGACTTAAGCATATTTTTGATTCAAAACACCAACATTTTATTTTAAAAAAGTTGAATAAATTGAATAAAAAACTGTGTGGGCATTAAACATTTCTGTTTCTCAAATATTAAATGTTTAGCTACATCTTACAGGCTACCTTCACATACTGTCATTTTCTTTTTTGGACTAAAAACCGCATTTACAACGTTAAAGGTGTGAAACTTGAAGTGTCAGAGCAATTTACTGTAGGAATCTCGAATACTGTCTTTATGAACGTGCAACAAGAGTCAAGACTCAAGCCTGTTTACACGACACTGTTTTCAACCTAAGGAGTAGTTCACTTTTAAAAAAACTTTTGCTGATAATTTACTCAACCCCGTGTCATCCAAGATATCCATGTCTTTCTTTCTTCAGTCGAAAAGAAATTAAGTTTTTTGATGAAAACATTCCAGGATTTTCTCCATATAATGGACTTCAATGGGAACCAACGGTTCAAGGTCCAAAAGACAGTTTCAGTGCACACTGTTCAAAGGGCTTTAAACGATTTCAGACTATGAATAAGGGTCTTATCAAGCGAAACGATCACTCATTTAAAAAAAAAAAAAACAACAACAAAGTTTAAGTTTTATAAGCTCAAATGCTCACCTTGCTCTGTTCTGTGTGACTCTCCTGTTCGAACTCGTTCATGAAAATGAACGAATCTTTTTCTGAGTAAATTCGTTCATTTCGTTCCTCTGTTCGTGACTCCTATTCGAACTCGTTCATCAAAATGAGTCAAAATTAGTCAACTTGTTCATTAAGTTCGTTGAATGAACCAAAGCGTATAAACCAAAGCTTTGAGCTTATAAAACTTAAACTTTGTTATTTTTTTTTTAAATGAGCGATCGTTTCGCTTGATAAGACCCTTATTCATCGTCTGGAATCATTTAAAACACAATGAACAGTTTGCAGTTTGCACTGAAAGTGTCTATTGGACCTTGAACCGTTTGGTTCCCATTGAAGTCCATTATATGGAGAAAAATCCTGGAATGTTTTCATCAAAAACCTTAATTTCTTTTCGACTGACGAAAGAATGACACGGACATCTTGGATGATATGGGGGTGAGTAAATTATCAGCAAAAGTTTTTTTAAAAGTGAACTACTCTTTTAAAACTTTTAATGTGTTTTGACCCTTTGTTACACGACAATGGCATGTTGGGTGCCTGAAAACACAAACTTTTGAAAACGGGTTTCAAAGTGCATGTTTTTTTAAATAAATCTCAAAAACGGGAATCTTTGAAGACGATGACGTCTGGCACATGCACATACTTTTTCGACGTGTTCAGTCTATAGAGTTTCATTGCTAATGGCCTGGCAGCAGAATACAGCGTTTTAGTTCTCGAGGATCCGTGTGAATGGGGATCGTTTTGAAAATAGTATCGTCTAATAGTATTGTCGTGTAAACGTACCCTTAGACATCCACCTAACAACAGCTTTGGTTGTCATCCTTAAATTGAAACCATATAAGCACAGTCACTTCATAGTCTATTTGAGTTTCATGTAATCTGTTCCTGTACTACTACTAGAAATTACAATCAAATCAATAAAATGAATATATTATTGTTATTAACTTCTCACCCTTAGTTAGAAACGGCGGATGGCCACAAGCGTGAGGTGCAGCTGTGACGGCCGCATGCTGGAGGTCATCCACCACGCTGTTGGCTCCCAGAGCATCCCATGCTGCATTCCCAAGTTCCTGAAACATACAAACAGACATCTTTGATTCACAAGCTACAGATTCAGAGAAGACAACCACAAGGTATGGTTGATGAAATCATTATTTTGTTGTTCTTATTCCAAGTGGTGAATGTGTCTTTGTCCCAAATCACAATATTAATACATAGTAAAGCCACCCAGAGCTAATAAATGAATCTTTTTGCATTTGGAGGGGCATTTATTTGCTCTCACTCTGCGTTAATCTCAGTGGTAAAATTTGCAATTACAGGAACAGATGAATTAGCTGTCAGGTGCCCTTTGTGCCAATCCTCTTCCTAGGAGAATAATGATTCTGTTATGAAACTATTATCACTGAAACCCATCCAGACACGCACATTAAAGCTTGGTATGATGATGCCGTGCCTTGAACCAAGGCTGTCTGTGTGTGTAGGCTGTAGCACAAATGCTGGTTGACTCCAGTAGCGACAGTGTATTTTTAGCTTCTCTGGAGGCAGAAACATTGAAAAGGAGAGAGAGAGTATACGAATAATGACACGTTTGTTTAAAATTTGTTTTTGTGAAAAAAATCAAGCACCTCTGGCTGTTTAAACACACTTGACAGTCCTTATTTTGTCTGGTCAGCCCTCGTAGAAATGAATAAATAAAAGTAAGGGATAATGTATAGCAAGACGGTTGTTATAGCGAATACAACCCCGCGAACTTGGGGTCTTAAATCAGCCTGAAGGGGTTGTATTCGCTGTAACAACCGCCTTGCTATACTGTACATTTTCCCATTTATAACATGGCTACCAAATAAATCAATAATTTGACACAAAATATTGATTTAAAAAGGAGTTTATTAATATAAAAACGATCATATTACCGGAGTGAACAACTGCTTCCATAGCAACACGATCTAGCAGTTAAAACACATGAAATGGTCAAATATGTGATCAACAAACAAGGCTAACGTTATATGAAGTAAAAATTAACAAAGTGAATCACCAGTAAAAGGGAACAGCTTTAAACCCCCCCCTGCAAATCAGTTAAACCGATATGTTTAATGTCAAACATTAGGCTGTATCAAAAGGTAACTTCGCGTCCGCTGCCAAGATAGATCTATAGCTATAAACAAACTGCTTCAGTGTGTCGCATATACGACGTCATCGTCTTGCTGCTCCCTCCCCGTTCTGTGATTGGTCCCCTATTTCAGGAGAAAATTTGATTCATGGTGTCCAGGCTGCCTAGCAGCGTGAATAAAATTAATAGTTTAAAAAATATATTATTTGCGGCTATACAAAATGATTTATTGTGGAAAGTGCCAAAAAAAAAAAAAAAAAAAAAAACAACAGGGTGAGAATGCTAAATAACGTGGTTTGAATCACAAACATCAATTCTTGTCTGATAGGGTGGCCTTGATTGATTGATTTGATTGATTTTTAGTTCTGGATCCAAGACGATAAAACAGTAATTGAAAGGATAGCATGCTAAAGTAAAATACTTCTTTCCAGCACATAATAGACAATAAGCAAACAAACCAAACTAAAAAAGACATCATATAAAAAACAAAAACGCCTTCACCTTGTTCCATAAACATTTTTCGTCCTGTGTTTTAAAAATCCCTCGTGTTGATAGGAGTTTTGTAGCCTTGTGAAGGTTCTGCGACAACCACAGTGACCCAGCAGTAAACCGAACGCCTGCATGTCGATAACTACCATCCCGCTGTGATGAGAACCTGGATCTGGACTCTCAGAGTCACTCACCTCAGTCACCCTAGCACTTAGTGTGTGAGCAGTGTCCGTCACGTACAAGAGTTCCATGGCCCAGGGATTTTTAATCTCAGTAATGAAAGATGGAGTTGATAAAGCATCTTTTGGTGAATGCTGGTGTTTCTGAATGAGCTAATTGGAATGCACTCCCAGAGCTGAGAGCACAGAATACAGCAGAACGTATTAAAGCCCCGTCCGGCCCTGCTTAAATATTCACTCATTTCCTGACCGCTGCCCCCTGCTCGTACGTGTCCCAGTAATGGCTTAGAAGGCTGCAAAGAAAGGTGGCCTGACGGGTCATTATTGATATCCACAAATCCCATTTACCTGATGATCTCAGCAAAGAGGAAGAGGGAAAAGTGCAAGCTTGACAACAGCAGTAACATCTGTCTGTCTATCGCTCTATCTGTCTGTCATTCTTTTGTTCTATTTGTCATTCTTTCGTTCTATCTGTCTATTGTTCTATTTGTCACACTGTTGTTCTATCTGTCTGTCTTCTTTCTTTCTATTTGTCATTCTTTCGTTCTATCTGTCTATCATTCTGTCTGTCACACTATCATTCTATCTGTCTGTCATTCTTACATTCTATTTGTCATTTTTTCGTTCTATCTGTCTGTCATGCTATAGTTCTACTGTATCTGTCTGTCATTCTATCGTTCTATTTGTCATTTTTTTGTTCTATCTGTCTATCATTCTATCTGTCTGTCACACTATCGGTCTATCTGTCTGTCATTCTTTCGTTCTATCTGTCTATCATTCTATCTGTCTGTCACACTATCGTTCTATCTGTCTGTCATTCTATCGTTCTGTCTGTCTGTCACACTATCGTTCTATCTGTCTGTCACTCTATCGTTCTCTCTGTCTGTCATTCTATCGTTCTGTCTGTCTGTCACACTATCGTTCTATCTGTCTGTCACTCTATCGTTCTATCTGTCTGTCATTCTTTCGTTCTATCTGTCTGTCATTCTTTCGTTCTATCTGTCTGTCATTCTTTCGTTCTATCTGTCTGTCATTCTTTCGTTCTATCTGTCTGTCATTATTACATTCTATTTGTCATTCTTGCGTTCTATCTGTCTATCATTCTATCTGTCTGTCACACTATGGTTCTATCTGTCTGTCATTATTACATTCTATGTGTCATTTTTTCGTTCTATTTGTCTGTCACACTATCGTTCTATCTGTCTGTCATTCTTTCGTTCTATGTCTGTCATTCTTTCGTTCTATCTGTCTGTCATTCTTTCGTTCTGTCTGTCATTCTTTCGTTCTATCTGTCTGTCATTCTTTCCTTCTATCTGTCTGTCATTCTTTTGTTCTATCTGTCTGTCATTATTACATTCTATTTGTCATTTTTTCGTTCTATCTGTCTATCATTCTATCTGTCTGTCACACTATCATTCTATCTGTCTGTCATTCTATCGTTCTGTCTGTCTGTCACACTATCGTTCTATCTGTCTGTCACACTATCGTTCTATCTGTCTGTCATTCTATCGTTCTATCTGTCTGTCATTCTTTCGTTCTATCTGTCTGTCATTCTTTCCTTCTATCTGTCTGTCATTCTTTTGTTCTATCTGTCTGTCATTATTACATTCTATTTGTCATTCTTGCATTCTATCTGTCTATCATTCTATCTGTCTGTCATTCTTTCGTTCTCTCTGTCTGTCATTCTTTCGTTCTCTCTGTCTGTCACACTATCATTCTATCTGTCTGTCATTCTGTCTGTATCAATTTATCTGTCTGTCTTTCTATTATTCTCTCTGTCTTCCATTCTATCTGTATCCATCAATGTATATATCCGTCAGACTATCGATCTGTTCTATCGTTCTATCTGTTTGTTTGTCTACCTGTCATTCTATTGTTCTATTATCATTCATTCTGTCCATCATTCTATCATTCTATCGGCCTTTCGTTTAATATGTATGTTTGTTTCTATCGGTATGTTCTGTCATTTTATCTGTCTTTCTGTCATTCTATCGTTCTGTCTGTCTGTGGTTTTATCATTCTGGCTGCCTGTCTATTTAATCAGATCTGTCTAATCAGACATTGTCATTTGAGAGGGTTGAGTGTGTCTGTGTCTACAAATGGCTGAAGTTCTGAACTTTTAAGCATTAGTCTTAGACATAGTGAACAGCTCCGTCATGGCTCATAGTCAGGGCTATGTACACAGATTTACATCTCTGCATTTGTATGCATTGGCTGCATGCTGTGCTCCGCTCAGTGTTGTTAAATAACCCAATCAACCAGAAGGAGATTGAGGGAATGCTATTCCCACTTTGATTTAGAGGGGAGTATTTTTCCAGTAAGGGTAAGTGAAGTAGGTCTAAGCCATTTGCACAGAGATGGATGTGATTGATGGTGAGAGTCCTGTCTTCAGCGTACTAGCTCAGCACTGACGAGAGATTCAAAGGCTAGCCTCAGGCTTGACCATGTCACATTGAGAACCTGCACCAAGACCTGTCCTCCTTCCACTATTCCAATTTCTTTCAGTTTGCAGATTGTAATCTGAAGGGCCAGCCGCAAAATCCAGGCTGAGGCCAGAGATAGAAGCGACTGGAATCGGTGCCCGGGCCAATGTGGATTAGTTACGATGGCTCTTGTGTTGATCTGAGATTTTTAGGAAGTCTCTGAGCAACATTAACCAATCTTATGTTTATTAGCATTTTTAATACAAACACTCCAGTGTTCGATACAGTCAACGATCAAGTTCAATCAACACCAAGACATTAAAAAAAAAAAAAAAAATACATTTAAAAAATTTCCCTTGCAAATCAAGGTTACAAATGAGGCACATGTTGCACAATGTAAGTAAATCTGGCCAATTTTAAAACATTATATTGTTATACTAATAAGCTTTTTAGGTAGGAACGCATTTAAACACATTTTAGGTTTATATCCAATCATTTAAATCGTTTTATATCCAAGACATTTAAAAAAAATTAAAAAAAATGAAATTGAAAAAATTTCCCTTGCAAATCAAGGTTACAATGAGGCACATGTTGCACAATGTAAGTAAATCTGGCCAATTTTAAAACATTATATTGTTATACTAATAAGCTTTTTAGGTAGGAACACATTTAAACACATTTTAGGTTTACAGCATTATGTTATCAGGGCAACAAAGTTGTAAAATTGGATTTAACTTCAAACAGAAAAGGTTAGTAAGTGATTCTTCCACACTATAATCATATTAACATGCAAAGTATATATATTTTGTGACTATATTATTGAAATGTTTACCAATTAC